TCAAACAAATAACCTTCATAGGTGACAGAACCGTCGGCATTGTCGTGCACCCAGATGTAAGGGGGATCTTGCACAGCTATCACACGTAGATCAGGCTCCTCAGTTACACTATTATGTTCCACCTTGTTCACAAACTGAAGACTGGCTGCAGCCATGTTTCACGCCGCGAGCATATGACTGTTCTGTTCCAGTCTTCTAGTGTGAACAGTACTACATAGCTTTGCTGTTTTGGCCAGTATCGATCGTTGTGGAATGTGGAAACACGGCTGTCTATGAAACCTTAACAGCACCCTGTGTGCTTTGTTTTAATTGCAGCACGACTGGTGCCAGTTGTCACGTAACGAGCCGAAATCAAATGAACTCGGAACTTTTAAGTCTTTGATTACATAATGTGAACAGTTCAAACAATTAAAAGTCCTTAATTGGTGCTTCGTTGGAAATCATTGTGTTTTGTTTCTTAAGAAATGCGTATAGTACATTATATAGTTATAGTACACATAGATCCCCCTTATGTATAATGCATGAGACGATCTTCCACTTGATCGATGCACATTAATGCGAGATCAATGATCATATTGGCTGTGTAACTGTTGAAGATGATGATATGTAATATCCAGGTGGCGAACGTGATCGTACGTCCGGAAAGCGAGTTGGGCATCAAAAACCAGCCCTGGCCCACAAACGACATACAGCTGGACAGAATACACGATGACCACGTCATCTCACTTTTTGTATGACCATCTTCAGTCCGGCTCAGTTTAACAGCAACCTTAAGAGCTAAAGACAGCATCAGAAGCGTCATCAGCAGTGCCCACCAGATCTTGGAATCCAACGGATTCAGGAGCGCTGCAAAAACTGCACCGTTCACGTTGAAGTCGTCCGTTACAGTCTTGCTAATGTAGAGTCTAGCGGTGCTCTTCTCCATTGGCACAGCATCCAGATAGTCGATCACCTTCAAACGATCTTCTCTCATCCAGAGCCAGGTCAGGGCAACGCAGGGTTACTTTTACAGGAAAAGTCGAGAGGGGGAATAAAGTTCGGGGCAAGGGCGGATCCAGGGGCATCTGAAAGGGGACCCAATGCCATTAGGTCTTTGTTAGGATGGCGCCTGCAGAACCTTGCCCACCCCCAAAATCCTACTCTCTCCCCGGATTCTGGCCACTTTATATTGCTAGGTTGCCAAAAATAAATTAGCTAAACAATATACGTAGGTACCGGGCTTCTAAAAAAGTTAGATTTTATAACTAACGTATTGAAGGGTGTATCAGTGTAACAAAACATAATTGGGTATCACCTAAAAGCCTCATCAAAGACATTTCGTTTGAGGGGATTTCGACCCTCGGCAGTCGCCTTTCTGAGCCGCGCCGAGGTCATGTTCGAGATGATTCCCTTTTTGCTCGATGCACAGTTAAGCCCGGCGCAGCGCGACCTCTGCTGCAGAGTGCAGCACGACCCACGGAAGGCTGCAGACGGCACACCGCTGACTTCACTGCATCCTTATGATCTTCGGAACTTTTTGGGTGGTTTCGGTACACCTGGGACTTGAGGTGGTCCTATAGGAAAAAGTCCGGTGGGGTTACGTTCGGAGAATTCGCCGACCGTGTCTCGAACCTCGGGATCACGCGCTGCCCGAAGCGCTCCCACAGCCCCTCCCGGTTTTCTTTAGCAGTATTGGCGTGGCACCGTCTTGCTGGAACCATTGGATCTTAAGCGTTTCCGGATCTCTGCTCATCCTGATATTGCAGAACCCTCCAAAACGTCGCCAGAGCCACCCGATATCGCTGACCATTGACAGTCTGAGTAGCGCATCTCTCACACGAGTGGTGTTCGCCGTAAACCTTTGATTGGGTTTATGGCCGCCGCTGTGTTCCTTGAATTGCGTGAACCTATTGTTAAAGGGACCCTCCCACCTTCAAAAAAGTTAATGAATTGGCATGAAAGTGATGTCGCTCGGTTCAGAAAGAGCAAAAACGAATATCTACTAAATTTCATCGAAAAATATTCACCGGTTTTCAAGATATTAGACTTTTACTTTTGTTTACTTTTTGGGATCTCCACTGTGCCTATAAGCGACTTTATTTGAAAGTGCGGCATTTGTTGCGCGCAAAGCAGCATATACCACCGCGTGCTACAAAACTAGTCAAACATTTAAAAATCGTTAGATATCTGCGCTGACGTCACACATTCAGAGGGGTATTCCTATGCATTAGCCCCTCTGAATCAAAATGCTGCAATTTTGAAATTCAATATTTCCGATTTAAGGCATTTCTCGATGTTGTGAGTGCCGAAACCGGTAATTGTGAGCCAGGGACCCCATTTTGGCTATCTCAACTCAAATCTAATGTTAAGGTGGGAGGGTCCCTTTAACACTTCCTCGAGCCAGAACCTTGTCAACAATGTGGAAAATTTTGTTTCAAGACGTTGCTCTCTTTGCCCTAAAGTGTTTGAGGATCTTCCGTGGTGTCGAACCGACCGACTTAGTCTGGGAAAGCATAATTTCACGAGTTTTGCTTTTACTTCTCAAGACCACGGCAGCACGGCCAGGGGCGTCGACGCGTAAGGAAAACTGGTCCGACTTTTTCTCGGGGGGCCCCCACCGGTGGGGGCCCCCAGGTGTCGAACGGCTTCCCAACGTACATTTACATACATACATGTCTAGCAGGGCCCCCCGAGCCGCAGTAGGGCCCCCGCGGTCTGCAGCAGGGGCCCCCGCGAGCCATAGCAGGGCATCGCCTAGTCGAAAAAGTGGTCCGACTAGTCGGAAAAGTCGGACCGGTGTCGACGCCCCTGAGCACGGCTTCATTTTTTAAGCTCAAACCATGGTGTAATATAAATCTACGAACAATTCTCCGTTTTTCAACGTGCATTGATTTTGCTTAAATGTTGTTAGGGGTGCATTCGAAAAAGAAATCCGTCTAACTCTTTTGAGAAGCCCGGTACCTACCTGTGCGGTAAGGGGCGGGGGAGGTCCCAACTTGACTGCGCCCTTGCAAATGTCAATCAGTAGTATCAACCTATTACCCTGGCCAAACATCAAGTAGCGCCTTTCTAAATAGAGAGAGGTTAGCACGTGACTATTTTTGCTAGGCCAAGACCGATTGAAGGACCCTGGTTCGAAGGAAGACCATTGGTTCGAAGAGGTCGTGACCCCCGTCCCCCGCCGGTTTCTACGCCTGTAGCGATATGTCAGTGATTGCGAAGAGATGGAAGAGACAAGACAAGAGACGGTCCCACCGACCATCCGATCGGTATCGGGTCAAATCTGGAGTTCCCGCTGCACTGAACGTAAAATGGTTGGATGGAACCATAAATTAAAAATTATCTAAGCGCCAGCAACGTTGACTGATGACTAGAGTCTGATCAACGACGATTATACAATCTGAGTAGCGAATTGATTGAAAATGGGCTCAAAAATAAATTTGAAAGGGGGAAATTCCCCCTTCCCTCCCTAGCCGTTCACGCACAATTTGAAAGGGGGAGCGGAATTTTCGAAGGGGGGAAATTCCCCCTTTCCCCCCCTTTAAAAGTAACCCTGGGGCAACGTCTGCTCTTCCGTAGGCAAGCTCTCCCACCATTCCAGTCCACGTTCCGTTCTCATCCAGCCTTCCAAAGCCTCCCTCTAGAAGAGGCACCAGCCGGTAGCGAAGGTTTAGAGACTGCGCGATGATTTTCCAGACATCGAACAAATATCCCGGCGTAAAGATCCGTCAGAATTGCTGTGTATCCAGATGTAGGGAGGATGCTGAACGGCAGTTACGCGTAACTCGGGCTTCTCAGTCAGGCTGGAATTTTCCACTGACCAATCCTTGCCCACGAAGTGAAGGCTGGATGCCGACATAATTCAAAAGACGAACATGGGGTACTTTTTCCCAGCTACTTTTGGATCACTTTCTCTGCTTCACGGCTTACTGCTTTCTGCGGAGTTACTTAGTTCTTACACAGGTAGGTACTGATGCTAAATGATCTAACCAGCGGAAGTTGTTCTGGAAGCGTACCACTCTGACACCCCCAGAGGTGTTCTGTTTGGTTTGACCGCGCATTCGCGACTGCCTGAGCGTCTTTCCAGTACCTGGTTAACACAAGGCAGACTGGGTTACTACATACTCAATCACAAAATGTCGCGGACCACGGGCCAGCTATGGCAAAAGTGATTCGTTGATGCATTTCATTTCAGTCCCAGCATCGCTTGTGTGGCCATCCAGTAGTCTTCAGAGTTTACTGCAACCTTTCTGGTTAATTACACAGCCAGGCATTTCCCGGCATAGAAGCCACTTCTTTTGCTGAACAAGGCACGAAGTTAGGAGTGATGTGTGAAATTGCACATTGCAGACCCTTCTACACTGATAACCTAAGCTAGAAAATCACTTCAGAAAACAGCAGTGGAATTCCATTGAATCAATCACGTTGTCCTACAATGCTAAACGTTCTTTTGGTACTGCCTCTGAGACAGATTCTGACTTTCTGAGAACCAGCTAAGTTTCAGAGCAATCGCCCCGGTAATTGCTGAGTTATTGCAATGGGGGACAAGCTTGACATGGGAATGTGGGTAGGCACCCAACGGGGAATGCATATCCATATATCACGGTTGGGGTGCTACTGCAATTGCGCACGTGTAGGGGATGACTTCCAGATCTCGTGAACGGCCGGACCAATTGTGTTCAAATTTGGCGCACGATTAGGGACCAGCGAGTAGGGTGCCCGGCAGAAGTCAGTTTGAACCCAGTTTGCACGTGCGCACGCGCAAGGTGCCAGTTTAACATACATCTTGAGAACGGCTGGACCGATTGCGCTCAAATTTGGTGCACCCTTAGCGATCGGTGAGGAGAATGCCGGAAAAAAACTATGTTTGGGCCCAGTTTGCACGTACGCACGTGCAGGAGAAGCACTCCCAGGGCTCAATCTTCCACTCGCTCTTTTATCGCCCCAAAAGGCGTCTTACCGGTTCTTACAAATTGCATGACTTGGCAACGGTATCATCGACATCAATTCCAAACCCAAACTACCACGGTAAAAGTGTATTTTTTAAAAGCAGCACGTAAGGTCACAAGTACTGAATTACCCTTTTCAAAGCCACTGATGATGGACATACATTGTTCTCAATCTTATGCTGAGAACATCCTGAACAGGGTGTCACTTGACTTGGTCTTTGACAAACGAAGCACCATAAGCATGGACTATGGCGTACAAACAGAACTGATTCGCTGCCTAAATATACGTTCGAAGCATTTTAATATCAAGCAGCATCACTAAACGGCGGTGCGTGCCCCTTTTCAGCCAACCACCAATGGATACATACACAGAAAGTCGATCTAGCAAGCTATTCGAAAATCAAGCCCCTATGGTCATACGGGAAATGCCAATGCCTTCACAGCTACGATTTGACGTCCGCTACCGCGGTCCGCGCCGCCTTACGGCACAGGCCGTAAGCATACAGTACGGGCCGTATGATCTGCTCGGGCCGTCAGAGCTGTGCTACGGGCCGTAGACGACGTGCAGAGATCGATGGAGTTTTCTAAGCAGCGGGAGTCAGCTCGTACTCCTGAAAACATGGGAGACATGTCATCTGTGAGTTTTGGGAAAGGTAACACTGGTGTGATAGCACAGATGCATGATTTATTACATTTGTTGTGATACCTACTGTTAATGTGTTAACATACTCATGTTTGCTTTGTAGTATTTAACCTCACATAAAAACGTCAATTCTTTAACGCATATCTTTTGACGTGTTTCTAGAGAGGGTACTTTATAACACAATGTAGGTTAGAAACATGTATAAAGGCTATTTCATCTGATATTTCCATCGTATCTACAGTTATATCTCAGCTTACACCAACTAAACAGGCTACCAGGGTCACGCTACCCAATCTGGTAGAAAAGCTCTGTAACTCCCAGCGTGCTCACCTGAATGTTCCTCTCCTCGGGACGGTAGAAGTCGTGCACCTTCACAATGGACGGTTTCAGCTGCTCAACTTCGTTCTCCTGAATAATGCGGAACTCCAGACAGGTCTTATCTTCGGCCACTCCTTGCAGTGTGAAGATCACTTTACCTTCCTTGATCTCATAGCTGCGAACAGCTGTAAAAGATAGGCAAAAGTTTAGTCTAGGATCTAGTTGTTAGAGACCAATGTCAACCGAACACGTTATTTTTCATTTAACAGCGTGTTAGCTCTGTAACTCCCAAACAGCTGAAGTCGAGTTATGGCGTGCTATATTATATTTTAAGACTTTTTGTGAAAAACGAAACCGTTGGAAATTCCAAATGTTTCGTAATAATGCCAACCCACTGATCGTTTCGATTCAGTACAATTACATTACAATTACATGTAACATGATATACATCCCGCAAATTTTTAGATGTTTATTTTACCAAACGAAGACACCTAAAACTATAAGGAAAGCAATATAGTAGACACAAGCCAATGCAATTCAGAGACCAACAGATATGTGTGACCTATGTCGGCATGTCCTGTTCTGACATCGCTTGAGATGCATTCCGACTTTTTCGTACTCTCTCCTACAGAGTGACCATTTCTTGAACTTCTGTGTCTGTCTATTATATGTCCTATGAAAGCCCACCTGAGCCTCTGCGCAGGTCCCTCAGGGTGCTGTCCACAGCAACATAGCCAGAGGGCAGTTCCATTTCCAGAATGGCGCGGTCCACGGCGCCAGAGTTTCGGAGGAAGCTGGTGCATACTTCCAGCTCGTAGCCGGTACGACCTCGCTTCTTGGCAGCCACACCGAGAGAGAAGGCAGGGTCGGGCACCTGGGAAACCGTGAGGGCGGTGTCATGAAACAGTACATCAGCGCCATACCATCATCAACATTAACGAACGCAGGCAGTGGCACCAGCAAGGAGTGGCTCTGAGAGCAGCACAAACTCCGTACCTCTAGAGTGCTGCTGAATCGGAAGATACTCTGGTAGACCACGCAGCCAGGCGGACTGACATCAAAGTTCATGGTGCCAGGCAGCTGAAATACAAAGGCACACACGTCTTAGCAGCCGGTCAAACACATGGGGTACATTTTTAGAAGAAAATGTTTATCGACTTTGCGACCTTAGGGCAGTCAAACAATGCTTGAAAGAAGCCGAATGATCGAATTTATCTAAGCGATGCCTAGTTTCCCTTTCGTGAAGCCTCAATTTCATATCTTTTGGAATGCCAAGTTGATCCTTATTCTATATCAGACATTTTATAACGGGACTGCCTCACGAAAAATTCTGGAATGGTGGAGGGGTAAATAACCTGAGATGTACGCGCCAGTATCATGGGGGCGTCTTGTATTCCATTCAAGATATCGTGAGCGCAGACCTGACACCTTGGACTACTGCTGCAAGCTCCGTCTCCGCAGTCTGCACTTACCGTCAGGTCTGGCACCTTGGACTCCTGATACAGCAGTCTGTTGTCTCCATCCACCATCCGCTGAACAGTCTCTCCTCCAGCAGTCACAGACACACTCGTGGCCAGATCAGAGGCGAACGTGCGAGACGCGAACTCTGACAGAGCTTCCACAGCAACAATGGTGTCCTGCAAGCGCAGAAAGAGGCGGGACGTGAATGATGGCACTTTAGAAGGTAGGCCAGGATTGTAAAGCAGTGGGAGAATGCAATTTTTTCTAGGGCGCATTCTCCCGCTGCCTGAGGCATGCCGTCAGAGGTGACAAGTCAGCAGGAAAATGTCAACATTGGTAGCTTCAAGTCGGAATCCCTGCGATCCAGTAAGATCTCCATGTCCTCGCGTTTGAGGAAAAGATCCTGACATCTCAAGTCGTGATATAACCAGATAACATACTCAAAGAAAGTTATGCATTCGAAGACGTTCCATTTCACCGAGTTTCATTTGGCATTTGCAGTTGGATCATTTTACATTTGGGGAGTACTACTCGAAAGAAATAATCCACAAACACCTGAAAATGGCACCAGATGTGAATAATGCACATATCCTGAGCCTGAGCCATCACTAACCTGAGTGGATTTGAAGCCTCCGTTACTGTTCCTCTGCGTGTTGATCCAGCGAATGGCGCGCGCTGCTTCCTCCATGTTCCCCTTTCCGGAGATGTGCATCAGCGAGAGAGCCATGTAGGCAGTCATTTCGACGTCCACGGCTCGGCTTCCACCGACTACAGACGTAAAACGGCGTCAGTGTTGAGCAGCAGTCTCGAGGTCGGGTGGCGCGAAATACAAAGCCAAAGACAAGCGATGGGTGCGTCTCCCCATCGTGGAAACAAAAAAGGACGTAAGAAACTGACCGATGACTTTGCTGGACTAGACTAGCTAAGTTTACGTAGACTTTGCTGGACTAGACTAGCTAAGTTTACGTAGTTATTTGGCATGAATGTGTAGAATCGCGTGGCGCTTCCACAGTTTCACATGGTGCTGTTGTGTATGCTCGATGAGCAAGTTGGGGCTGATTCTGAACACCGTTCGTAGCATTCATCACTGCGTGTCATTATACTTTCCACATAATGAGACAAACGGCAGGACTGCTTCAGCAGCAACCAAACCGGTCTCTCTCACCATCCGTCATTTTACTGATTTGAGCTGAACTCACATAGAGAATCACGGTCGCCCTCCCAGAACAGGATGTCATCTCCCTCGCGTTTGGCCTTCGACATCAGCTTGTTCACCAGCCTCTCTCCCTTGACATCTTGGCCCATATTCAAGTATGTGTACGCCAAAAGAATCTGAAAAAAAAACAGGGGAGATATTGCGTAACGGTCCCTTTGGATTATCATGTTGGAAAGATATATCGAGTTATGAGAAAAAGAAATAAACAAAAGGAATACTTCATGTGTTTGAATCATACACATGTATGTAGTCCCTAAATTTAAGGCTTCGCTCCCCAAGCGTCGCCGAAATGCAGCCATTTTCAACAGTTCACTATTTATCTCTACGATAATGCCCACTATAAGAATCAATAAAATCATTGTGCCACTTTATTCAACTGGATCCCACATAGTGCGCTGCTCGCTGACGGCGTTGAACACTCACCTCCGAATACAGTGTCTTGTTGGGGAGCAGAAGACCATCCTCTAGGCAGGCGAAGCCGCTGGCCAGCTCATTAGTGGTTGCGATGTCCTTCAGAGCCAGCATGACGAAGGCCGTGAGGGCCGCTTCACCGCCTCGCTCGGTGCCACCCTGAGTGCGACAACTTGATGATCAACTCTGACACATTCAAAGGACCATTCTTATTACAACCTTCAAACTTAAATTACATAGACATGATGTAAGAAATTGGAAATCAATTTCTAAGCAAAACGTAATGATGAACTCAAACGTTAAGTAAGAAGAGAATGGAACTTTACCTTCAGCTCCTTGTGAATAAGCTCGCCGAACCTCGGGAAACAGCCAGTGGTGTTCTGTTTGCTCAGAATCCAGTCCTTAGCCTTGTTAATAATAGTCTCATCTAGAAATAAGGTAGAAAATAGTGTTGTTAGAAAACTAATATTGATTTTGCTGCAAATTATTACCAATGAATTTTAATACAAGTTTGCTGGTCCAACAACTGCTTTGTTACCGCACCATAACAGCTTGACGCTACCGCAAGGGTACCACCTTGATATCGATTCAGTCTTAGTAAGCATCCATTACGAAAAAAGTGCTATCCCAAATCATTGCGTGCAAGCACCGCAAAATTCACGACACTTTCTTGCACACATTTTCAAGAACTGACCGATTTCGATGTACTCGGACGCCTCGCGGAAGGCCTTGACAACAAAGGCAGTGAGCCACATGGAGCCCTGAGGGTCCTCATTTCCGTATGACGAGAACGAACCATCGTACCGCCTGAAGCGCAACTGGCGCTGGTAACCTGTAACAGAAGAGTGATGGGACTGTAAATGGGTCCGCTAAACCGGCAATGACCATCGCACCCTTGCGGGTACTCGCTAACAACAATACGGACCTGTCGGTGCGACGAATTAGATCACGTCGCTCCTGAATTTCCCGAACAGGCTATCCATTATCCGACTCACTGCACTTATTATTATTATTATTATTATTATTATTATATTATTATTATTATTATTATTATTATTATTATTATTATTATTATTATTATTATCCGACTCACATTTATTAAAGCATGGATCGTCCTAACTGATTCAAGAGTTTAATCCTTCTTCCAACACGTCATTAGGAGAGTATCCCATCCAGTGTTTTTACTTCTTAAGATTCCCTTAACGCGCTCACTCCTCCCCCATCTCCCGAGCCCGATGTCCTCACATCCTCCTTAAGATCTACCGTCCTCGCTCTTATGTCCCTTCACTTCACAGGCATAAGATCTCATCTTCCTTTCTCACCGCTCTTCATGTTGTGTTCTAGCTGTCGCTTCTGACGCTCGTTGAGCTGACCAGTTGTCTCCAGGTAGCGACGGATGTAGATATTGGGCACCAGAGTGATCATGTTGGGCTCACCGGCACCGGTAGGCGAGCTAATGAGACCTCCCTCAAGACCCTGGAGGTAGTTACAGACACAGGTTAATGCAACCGTCCGAGAAAGAGGTGTACGATGACGCAGCTTCATGGAATGCTATGGTGCGGAGGGTGATCATTTGGGTCCCTGCGTTCCTATTTCTTTGAAAGAAATGGCGATGAAGTTATTCTGATGGAGTTATTTGTCATGCAAATAAACTGCGCCGATTGACAATTCTCACGGACAGGTTCAGAAAATGCAAAAAGGTGGAAGGTAAAATCTATGTTCGTGAGGAAAAAGGACAGCGGCTGGGAAATTGAACTTAGTCAAAGTGAAAGGACCCTGGTAATCCTAGACATCCATGATGTAACACCCCACACTCCACAGCCTTGTTCACGATCTACCACAGCCCCGTTAAAGGATCATTACAACATTGTAAACAACTTAACTACCCGGCCCACCATAGCCTTGCCACCTCCCGTGTGTCGTCCTACCTGGAAGGTCGGTCCCAGAAGATCTCCGATGACGGAGAAGTAGGCGCGCTGAGAGTCGGGCACCAGACCTTCCGGCACCGGCAGGTTCACCGTCTCCGTGTGGTGGTCGTCATCTGCGTACGAAAACATAACTGAATCAGCATTATGCGGCAACAGAGAGAGTGCGGGATTATGTGGGACCTGTATATAGTAAGCGCTTATGGACTTGATTCCGTGTTTAGTGCGTAAAGTGCACGTTGACGACTTGAGGTTTATAACTGGTGCTTGGCCCTGCGACACCAGCAAGACATTTTGACCACACCACCGCATTTGCCGGATTCAGATAAGCCCAACGTGTTTCAGATATCCGGGCATTACTAACTTCTACACCATACGCTTTCACCTTTACTCTTCGTCAACAATATTTCCCAACATATTAAGCTCCCTAAAATAATACACGAGTGATTGTAAGAATAAAGAGAGTATGAGAGTACCTATAAAGAGAGTATAAAGAGAGTATAGAGTATGTGCAATCAGAATTCTTACCCTTGTCGAGACAGATGAAGCGAGAGTGGGTCACTTCTTGAGGGAATCCCTCTGGTTTGACGACAATTGGTCGGATGACGGTGTCACTGCGGTACAGAAAATGCGTCAGAAGTGAGCGTGATGACAGATAATCTTTTCATTCTTCGCTGTTAGACTAGAAATAATTTTTATTCTTATTTACCTAATTCTTATTTAATTTCAAAAGCTGCAAGAATCTTGTCCAGTAAAAGAGGCAATATGTAACCGAGTGACCCAGTGGTCAGTATCAACAGGCGACGTATTTCACGCCACATGACTAAGAACTGACAATAACGACTGACTGCCAACCGGCCCTTCCTAACGCCTATGAACTGCATCCGTTGATGGCCTGCCCGACATAGAGCCACCAGGAGCTAAAGTAGCTGTAGCCAATAGCTGACCTGCCCGGCGCGATGGTGTTGCCTTCGTCGCAGTATCCGTCCTGTGCCCTGGCCGTGACTGTGATGTTGACCTCGCCCAGACCCAGGAAGTTGACCGGGAACGACCTGACCTCAGTGCGACCGGCCGCAATGCAGAGACCCATGGCGACCTCTCCGCTAATCTCATACTGGTCAGAGGCACCAACTTCGAGGTAAACCTGGAAAGAGTGGACATGAAGTGAGCGGAACTCTTCATCTGCAGATACGAAAGTACCAAACGAACACCCGGATAATGAAGCACTGTCACAGAGATGGACCGCAAGCTGAGATGTGAAAGAATATCTTCAGGTAAGGGACAAACAGATGTGTATTGAATGTCATAACCGCTCAGAACGTACATCGCGAGACTTACGAGACTTAGAGCCACAGGTAGTAGATTATACAGTATACACATGCATCTTCCGAGGGGGTACAAAGCAACAGTCGAAGGTTAGAGACTTTCATCGCTAAGCTTATATGTGACTGTGAGAAGGGACATTAAGCTGCTTAGACCCAGCTGATTGCCCCACTTAATCAGCTTCCCAAGTGAGATCTAGCCCATCTCACATTTGGGCATCAAGCAGGAAGGCCAAATTGACGCAAGCTTACCGAGAGACTCGAGTCGAGGAAGTTGAAGACGCTGACAGACATGTTCAGGATCTCACCACGCTTCATCGAGTACGGCAGAGACACCTCCGTGAAGAACGGCTTGAAGGTGGTGATGCTGGTCTTGTTAGAGATGCCGAATCCGTCCTGCGAGTCATCCAAGGTGAAGTCAAAACTTCCCATCATCGGAAAAAAGTTATCCATAACTTGGTGCACTGTACTGGGCGCAGAGGTACCCCTCAACGTAAGCGTCTTATCAGTTAAGATCCCGAGAATGAGTAAAATACAACAAGTAAACGCGTGTTTAGTTTCGTTGTAATGAGCCCTATCTAGTACTTGGCAAACCAGGATGGCTCAGAGAAACGATCTCTATTCTGTGCTCCCTGGCCCATCACTTAGAAGTTGAGCCGGACTAACAACACTTCACGACCAAGGCTTCACGTATGCCATCCACCTGTCACTGACCTTGCTGTTGGTGCAGATGGCTGATCCGACCACCTGTCACTGACTTTGCTGTTGGTGCAGATGGCTGATCCATCCACCTGTCACTGACCTTGCTGTTGGTGCAGATGGCTGATCCATCCACCTGTCACTGACCTTGCTGTTGGTGCAGATGGCTGATCGGACCCCCTGTCACTGACCTTGCTGTTGGTGCAGATGGCTGATCCGACCCAGGAGGTGATGGTGTCGGGCATCTCGGAGGTGATAGTCTTCACACCCTCCGCACTGGCAGCGTAGACACGGGGGAGGGCTACTCATACCGCGACGTTACAGGGTAGGTGAAGGACGCCCATATCAGGGCAAGGCACAAGAGAGGATCACACATGTATTGACAAGGAAGGCAGAGACTGGAGGCAAATTTGTAGGACACAAGGTGGAAACATCCACACTAGAAAAAAGAAGAGCAACACTCATACCAAAGAAGATGAGGAAAAATCATAAAAAATCAAGGTAACAATCACTCATACGGACAAAGGTGAGGAACGCTGGTTTGAGACATACTATAGATATGGGAGACATGAAACGGCATTTGAGAACACTAGAAGAAAAGGGTGATGAGCACACATCACGGGTGGAGAATTGTGCTGGACTGGGGGTGCTCGAGCTCTCCCAATTCCACGCCGGCTTGGCTTTGGAGCCGCGGCCGGGCGGCGCGGGTCAAGGTCACCGCTAGGTGGCGGCGGATTTGCTGCGCCCGAGCACCCCCAGCTGGTCACAATTCTCCACCTATGGCACACATATTACAAACAACACAAACTCAGGTGTAAAGGCCCACTGTTACTACGTTGCTGAACATGAACGCGTTTGTAGGCTGATGCCCATTCGGCATGATAAGAAACACAAATTTCACCGGAACAAAGTCAGCACTGAGACATAACAGATAGCAGCGGCTGTCCTAAAGAGGAACAGAGCCTATGGGAAGGCTAGATAACGACTCTTGGGAGACAACTCTTAGTCGCCCAGAGGTTGGCGCAGCGTTGGTCTAACATCCAGTACTCTATCTGGTAACACCTAAGCTGGTTAACTCTGTCCCTGCATAGTGCACTGATCGTACATTTATAGGGTTATGTTCCTGACGATTCTCGGACTATAATTACGTTCGTACATCCCTGCCTGCCCTCCACTATGAAACATCGTTCTTAGTGTTGTCATCGTCTTCGACAGGTCCACCACTCACTCTAGCGTCTCGATGCTGAACAGGAAGGCCTCTGGGAAGAAGTCGCGCACCTGATCTTCTTGAGGCGGCGCTCCGCCCCCAGCGGCAGATGCCACGTCGGCCGGACTAGCGGCCAAGAACGCCTGCTCTGGTGCGGGCGGAGCAGCGGCAAACGCCACAGATTGCTGCCAAACGTGTGCGCGCGCAACATCAGCGAGGACCGGAGAACACGAACGACTCAACGCCACGGCTCGGTGGACGACCACGAGGCGATGCGTCAACGAGAGGTCCGGCTAAGCCGGTCGCGCGGAGCCGACAGCCAGAATCGGAGTCCTCTCGTATGGCCACAGAAATGACGGCAAGGCCAATGAAGGCAGTGCGAATGGAGCAACAATTAGGCGCAGTTGCCATTCCGAATTATTTACAAATGTGCAACACTGCTGAATAGAGACTATATTTTTGACATTGAAGAAGAAGACTCATATAAAAGCATCCCAGGAATAACAGAGACTTGACACTTTACACATTATCAACAAACAATTGCTCTTAAGAAATTTAACAAAATTAAACACTACACAACGCCGCAACTTGGACAACAAAACAGCTCCCATTGGCCCAGAATGGAAGACGACGTGGCTGCGATTGTGGTAAGGTTCGGATGGCGTACAGGAAGCTGAACTGGACGTGAAGGTCATCATCAGACGCCGGCGAAAAGAGGACCGCCAGAGCGGACAGTGAGTAAGTGACAGCGTGCACCCACCACCTTCGGTATAGCACGAAGACGAAAAGAGACAAGCTCACGGTAGTCGGTCAATGAATGTTGAGCAAGATATTGGAATATGAAATCGCCCGTCTTGCTGTCACGGTTAGGGTTAGAGTTAAGACGGGGTTTAGTATGCAATCATCTATTTACAAAGCGGTATTTCCATACAACCTATAAACTTGTACTCGGAGAGCCGGACAGACGAGCAACACCTACTCATTGCGAATGTTTACTGAATGACCGAACATGAAAATGTGTTGGACAGTTCATCCGGCGATGCGATGATCCACTGGTGCTGCAAACAGTCAACAGACTCCATCATAAAGCTCGGTCTGAGCACGCTGAAGGTAAGGCCTTGTCAGCAATATCAACTCCACATGGTGGATTGACGTTGATGTGCGCGTAATGTGACATACAGCACCAGCAGTCAGCACTTTGTCACTTAGTCGACGGCGGAATTGATAGAAAGCAGCAGGCGCGAAACGCCGAATCGCTCGGCGAAACAGGGCAAGCACCAACCCTGCAGGTTTCTGTTCTAAAGCATCAAGGAGAAGATGGCTGTTTATTTTGATATCAACTTCTGGATGCCCTCAAGTTTCCTGTTCCAAACATCAAATCGCTATAATGAAAGGCTATAACTGGCTAGGACCAATGCAAGGTAAATGTCATAAGACTGAGTGGGCAGCAGTAGGTATACCTATATACTTTTGAGTGGTTGCAGTCACCATTTCAGTCTTTAATGCCATATTCACTTACTCGGAATCTTGAACCAAATACATAGAAACTCTTCACGCCATGTCATTCCTCCGTAACCAAACAATGAAATGTTCAGAAGACATTATAAGGGCAGACACACCATACATAAGTCAACGGTACCAAGAAAGTCTTCTGAACCGAACCTTGCCAGACATGGTGAAATGCATCACCTGAAGCAATCGTCATCTTCTTGGAGCCTTGTTCGGAACTGCACCCACTAAGGGCCCTTCTGCGCGTATTTTTATCGCCTGTGCTTGTGCTGTGATCTTCTGTTGCCCTTCCAAGTGGTTTTCGTCGGAAATTCTGTATTCAGCTATTTACCCAGAGGTTGCTCTGTCTTTGTGCAGTGAGGCTGGCGTGTCTCTACAAGCTATACTGTTACGGGATCCCTGAGGCTAGATTATCCTTAAAATTGAGGATGCTAACGTATTCGGCACACTCTCACTTCCGTTCCAATGTCACCTACAAATTTGTGATTGGATCAACAGAGGACGACCATTCTATACTTGCGCGGGATTTTTTTTTTTAGGTTACGTCCTACTGTGCAAGTCCATGTAATCACGTTGCTCGTTGAACTCTTCCACTATCCTGCTTGCCATGTCTACTTTCCTTTCAAATAAATTGGGGCAAAGTGAATCCTACACCATGTACCGGGATTCACATCACACGCATCGTCTTCAGCACGTCCAGCACTCACTCTAGTGTCTCGATGCTGAAGAGGAAGGCCTCTGGGAAGAAGTCGCGCACCTGATCCTCTTGAGGCGGCGCGGCGCCTCCTCCACCTGAGACACCACCTTCTGCGGCGAACCGTGAAGCGTCCGCAGACTCTTTGGAGAAAGCCAACGCCGGTACCGGCGAATCCAGGTCGTCGAGAAGCTCTTCTTCGCCGCCCCTAGACGCCTGGACGTGGATAGATTTTTCAGCAAAGGGCGTCAAGCCTCCTTGAGCAGTGGAGAGACGGACGATCTCTCTGAGCTCACGACAGTGGAGCAGTGCAGACAAAGTGCACCGTGTTGCAAGCAGAGGCCGGTGTGAAGGTGCCAAGCAGGTGTGCCGGGTGCGAAAGCAAACGAAAAGATATGGAAAAAGACCGAAATTGACTAAACAGCAACTGCGGAACGATGCTAGAGCAATAACGGCAATGAAAAGGCTACAGCTATATTTTGATTTTGAACGATGGCCATGCCAAAGTTGACAAAAACAAAGCATCTTCATCCTAACATGTAACTTCATGGATGGCTGTTAACAAAAAGAACTGAATCGCTTTCACGGCAGTAATTAAGCGCCTTTAAATATTCACAACTATCCGACTGACAATCTCTTCGTAGTAGCTAATCAACACGGAGTTTGGCCTATCGGACACAAACAGATCCTTGAAGGTATGTGTAGGGACTGAAACCGAAAGTAGCCGAACCGAAACATGCAGATGAGAAAGCGAAGCAGTGATGTGTGGAAGGATATCTGCTCATAGAACCAAAGAACCAAGCCATTCATAGAAGAATCGAGAGGCATAGGTAGCGAAGAAGACCCACATAAGCCGCTTTAGTAAGAGGCGAAGAAAAACTACCTAATTAAGTCAGATGAAACTTAACGAAGCTTAGTCCCTGCGTATCCTTCCTTCCACCAACTGAGTTGGAATAAAAAAATCACAAAATCAGTCGACATATTAGACATCGCAAAAACGGAAGCCTTCCCAGAGGCCCTCCGCTATAGCTTCTTGCAAAGCAAATAAAATACAGTTTATGTTAAAAATCAGTTAAAGATCGTGTTAAGTCAGCGTAAAATCTGTTTCCCCATTAAACTAGACGCTTTTAGATAGGTATACCCATGGCGTGCTGAACCCAGCGATGGGTAAATGGAAAACGTCGTTGGTATCTAAGCCCAGGCATAAATTTCAATTATTAACATAAATAAACAGTTAATGGTGAGGGGCTAAAAATAAGTCCTAAAACACAGATGGATTCTTCTGTTTTATCCGTACTCAAAGGATATAAGTAGCTTTATTGACATACAGCCGGCTAGTAGTTGACTTTTTTCAATCGAAATATGCATTCCGAATGCGCATAGAAAGGCCCGCGGTCACATGCAGCGGGTACAAAAAATCATTCGAAATGCCTTCTTACCTGTCAATTGATAGATTTGCAATTAATGCGATGAATCAATCGACCTATATTTGTATCATGCAACTTGTAAAACCAAATGGATGATTAACTTTGAATATTGGGCTGAAACAGATTCTTCCCGCAGCCAGGAAATCGCGTGCGAGAGCCTATTCAAATACCTACATTTCACTTCTGCCCATATCAATCGCATGCTAGAGGTGCGTACGATCAATGTGAGCGTGACATAATGTATTTGAATAGGCTCTTGCATGCAATTTTCTGACTGCGGAAAGAGTCTGTTTCAGCCTTTAGAGCACTGCGCAGCTGCCAGTCTAATCAACAACTTCAGCCTGAACAACAACATGAATTCAACTTTTTATTCCTGATTACTCACTCAAGAGTTTCAATGCTGAAGAGGAACGCCTCAGGAAAGAAGTCGCGGACCTGATCTTTTTCAGCTTCCACAGCAAAAACACCGTCATTATCTTCATCATAAGCCACATCGCTGTCCATTTCCACGCCGGCGACGGCCATCACAGGAGCTGGCAGTCTGGCTGCGCCACCGCGGTATTTGTGCTTCTTGCTGAAACTCTGAGCCATTGGGATCGATTGGATTTCGTTATGCATAAAATATCTGATTAGCAGGTTGAGTCAAAGGAAGGAGTAGTACGCGACTCCGCGCAGGGAAAATTTGTGTAGGATGCAAAAGTAGTTCAGTAGAACTGACAGAATTTTGAGTTGGGAATAAGCTGGCAAAGCTGCGGGCCTGTGGGTTTTGGGTGGGGCATGACATGACATAACCTCTGATGGTCGTATAACTTTTTAGTATTTTCATGCTTCGCCCCCGTTGATGCCGAATGGCGATTTTAATCTTGGGGCAAATCATAACTTATTTGATGACTGAACTTCATATAACTCTTTGATTTATACTTCCAAGCACAATGCAGCTTATGGTGAACAAAGTAGGTTAACCCGCGCCCTGCTGGGGGTCCTGGATTTCCACGCCCTGCTGGGGGGGTGTTTGAACACCCCCCCTTGTAACTCGGCTCCTGGGCCATGTAGCGATACGCAGAAGGCAGCGTTCGAAAGAGCGTAAAAAATAATGACGAAATCACTTCGGTCAATTTTTTGGTCAGGTCAAAGGTCAGGTCACCAGAGGTCATTGAAGGCAAAATTTCGCCGATTTCCAGGTCCAATGTCGAAAATTTCCAAGAAGCCAACGCATAACTCGGGAACCAATAGAGCTACAGCGCCGCGGAAAAGCGCATTCGATAGCCCTATTAACGCCCTTTCTGAGTAATTCTCTCAGATTTGACCTAACGTCAACGGTTTTGCCTGCAGGGGGCAAAAACTGCAAAAATAACCGATTTTTTTGAAAACAGTTTTTCTGCAATAACTTTTGACCCAAGCCTTGTACGAGCTTACTTTTACCGGCATCGTGTTCCTCTCGTCATGACGCATCGAATGAACTATAACTTGACCTTGAAAGGTCAACTTGAAAATTTGACCTCAGGTCAAGGTCATGACCTGACCGGAAAGGGTCATGTTGCATATCAGTCGATCCGTATCGTCGAGCTGAACACATCTAAGGCGTTTTCATCGCTCTAGCATGCCTCTATCAAAAGTTATTTGCGAAAAACTGTTAGATACCATTCGTGACCTAAGATGACCTCAGGGCATAAACAAGGGTCACGGACACCATTTTCAAGTTCAGTGTGTCTAAACCACTTGTAATTCGGTGTTTGGGAGTGTTTATAATGTCTTTCATCCAAAAGAGGCGCATTTCAATTTTCTCCCATTGACTTATAATGGGGAGGTCGCAAAATTGACCTGACCTTAGGTCATTGATATCAAAATTCTGAGATATACATTTTGTACATGTTATTGCTCTTAGCAATCGCTGAAAGTTTCAAAGCGATCGGTCACTCGGTGTAGCTATGACAGACATTGAAAGTTTTTATGAGGTGAGGTCACTTCAAGTGACCTGGTGACCTGACCTTGAATGACCTTGGTCTGAAATTTTCACAACATGTGTAGAATTGATGTATGATAAGGTGTACCAAAAACGGCGGCGCTCCGCGCCGCCGTTTTTGAGATATTCGCGAAAAACCACAGGGGGGGGGGTGTTCAAACACCCCCCCCCCAGCAGGGCGCGGGTTAAGTGGTGTGCCTAAGTACCTACGACACATTCAGCGCGCAGGGCTAAGCACATAGCCACATGAAGACCTCCACCTAGGCTAGACCTAGACAGTATAGATAGGTACCAACCCAACGCGTAGTGCGCTATATTCGACAGCGTCAGACGTATGCTTCAATCCTATTTTCAACTGGCCGCTTACCAACAGGCATGCCAAGTTCTCTAAGTCTGTCTAGGTTTGAGTTCCGTCGGGTCTCGCGAAGCATTGGCAAGTTTCGCCAATTTCTGTTAACCCGCGCCCAGCTGGGGGTCCTGGATTTCCACGCCCTGCTGGGGGGGGGGGTGTTTGAACACCCCCCCTTCTAACTCGGCTCCTGGGCCACGTAGCGATACGCGGAAGGCGGCGTTCGAAAGAGCGTCAAAAATAATGAGGAAATCACTTCGGTCAATTTTTTGGTCAGGTCAAAGGTCAGGTCACCAGAGGTCATTGAAGGCAAAATTTCGCCGATTTCCAGGTCGAATGTCGACAATTTCCAAGAACCCAACACATAACTCGGGAACCAATAGAGCTACAGCGCCGCGGAAAAGCGCATTCGATAGCCCTATTAACGCCCTTTCTGAGTAATTCTCTCAGATTTGACCTAACGTCAACGGTTTTGCCTGCAGGGGGCAAAAACTGCAAAAATAGCCGATTTTTTCGGAAACAGTTTTTCTGCAATAACTTTTGACCCAAGCCTTGTACGAGCTTACTTTTACCGGCATCGTGTTCCTCTCGTCAAGACGCATCGAATGAACTATAACTTGACCTTGAAAGGTCAACTCCAAAATTTGACCTCAGGTCAAGGTCATGACCTGACCGGAAATGGTAATGTTGCATATCAGTCGATCCGTATCGTCGAGCTGAACACATCTAAGGCGTTTTCATCGCTCTAGCATGCCTCTATCAAAAGTTATTTGCGAAAAACTGTTAGATACCATTCGTGACCTAAGATGACCTCAGGGCATAAACAGGGGTCACGGACACCATTTCCATGTTCAGTGTGTCTAAAACACTTGTAATTCAGTGTTTGGGAGTGTTTATAATGTCTTTCGTCCAAAAGAGGCGCATTTCAATTTTCTCCCATTGACTTATAATGGGAAGGTCGCAAAATTGACCTGACCTTAGGTCATCGATATCAAAATTCTGAGATATACATTTTGTACATGCTATTGCTCTTAGCAATCGCTGAAAGGTTCAAAGCGATCGGTCACTCGGTGTAGCTATGACAGACATTGAAACTTTTTATGAGGTGAGGTCACTTAAAGTGACCTGGTGACCTGACCTTGAATGACCTTGGTCTGAAATTTTCACAACATGTGTAGAATTGATGTATGATAAGGTGTACCAAAAACGGCGGCGCTCCGCGCCGCCGTTTTTGAGATATTCGCGAAAAACCACAGGGGGGGGGGGTGTTCAAACACCCCCCCCCCCAGCAGGGCGCGGGTTAAAACCGGCCGACCAAATCTTGCTTGGTTTGGGCAAGGTTGGCATATCCCGGCCCCTCCGGCATCCTCGATGCAGATATACAACTTGACAATGTGTTCTTTTACAACCTTTTGAAAAAGTTAACGCGGAATGAAGAGTGCCTTAACCCTCTAGTGCCCGGGCCCCCGGTATCATATCTGTAAGTCAATTTGCAGAAAATTCGCCTGCTAATCATAGAGGTGAAAATTGTTGAAAACCCTGCAGTATCAGAAGTGGTACGTCTTGGCAACCACCTGGTGGCAAAATTTTTAAGTAATGATATCTCAGTTTCCCACCAGGTGATTTTGAAGAGGGTCAGTTTGTCCTTTGCTGAAAGTCAATTTGAGATGCAAGTGTAAATTTAAGCATTTAGAACACAAAAAAATAGTTATTTGGAAAGAAACTTGGTATACTGTGAGACAAATGTTCAACATATATCATAGTATGTTGCAAAACATCGCAGCTATTTCAGGGTCAAAGATATGGACCCCTATTTTTGGGGATACTAGATATGATACAGTGGGCATAGCACTCCAATATTTTCTATGAATTTTTCGCCGCTGCAACATGCGGTGTGCCAATACCATAGTTTTTTTCCGGTGATAAGCATTGCAATGGCCTGTGAGTCATTGCAAATGACGATGGTACAAGATGCATAAATTTGTGAAGTTCGCACCTCTTGCGCCAGATGCTCCAGACTATTCCGCTCCAGACTTAAAATATCATAACGATATTGGTACGCTTATGCCGCCTCTCATCCTTGTCAATCTTCTAACATCTAGCTCTCTATGAGTGGCCTTATGCCTCATACATCTCGACTTTTCTAACGCTCGTAGGAATATGGTTTTGCAACTGTTTGACGATGACAATAGTGAACCTTTTGATCTGCAGGACACTAGCAGACCATATCTTCTAAAACCACGTTAGGAATGACATGCTATCGATGACAAGCTTGTTGATTTCAAGGAACGATCATCCGTGCGAGCATTTATACTCGTGAAACCAAAAATTGAGACTTGATGTTAGGGACAGGAGGATTCAGCGGTCTCTTGCACAATTTCGATATTCCAACAGGGGTTGTGGACGGGCTTATTTATGTCTTGTGGGTCTATGTGTTAGCTGGGCATGGATGAAGACTTGCATTAGCAGCCAGCCAGCATTTTTCATTCATATTGGAGAACGATTCACAATTTGTTTGCGATTCAGATCTCCTCCGTTCATCCCAGTAGTAAGAGATTGAATGTGGAGTGGAAAACTATATCGTCATCTTCAGAGGAAGCTCGCTAAACGGGCTCGCCATGAAGACAGACTCAGGACCGAAGGGCGTGGTTCCTTTGATTTCCTATCTAAGAAGTAGGCAACCATGCACTGCTGCCAGGTTCCAGCAGGTGCCTGACACCTGGCAAGCATTTTCACTGCCAGGTATGTCATTTGTTGTCATATATTGACATATGCCGCCAACTATGGTAGCTGAGTGTCACTAAACAAAAAGGATTATACTAAAACATGGATACTACTTTTGTACTGACCATAAGAATAAAAGTTACGGCATTGCGTAATGCGTATGCTCACCTCCATATGAGGTCAATGAACATTGTGCAAGTTCCTGCCGATCGGTACACAGTTACCTGTACCTTTGTTGTCTGACACGTACAACGGTTACTGCACTGGTCAGTGCGCGGCTGTTGTACTGACGCTGATGACATCAGGACCGCACGACCAGTCAAAGTAATAACTGACGATTCACAGGCTGAGGGTTTCAGTCACCAGGGATTGTCCGGCTATCGTGAAGATAAACCAACATCGTCTTTGGCATTGATCCCGGTCCGTCGGCAGGCTGTCCAGTGTCCAGCATTTTGCATCAGAACTGCTTCACTTCAACCACTTACCGCGAGCCAACTGTAATGTCTTCATTTCTATATCAAGTATGCATAACGCATCTACGTTTGAAAAGCATGGCCCACATGTCTGAATTATGAAAAAATTGCACAAGTGCAACGCGCTGTATCGTGGAAATTGAAGAAATAGAAGGCACTCGTAAATAGATGCCTATGATTAGCGTTGTTCCCTAAGCAGTAAGCACCGACTGAAAGGACATTTTGATACAAGAAGAATGCCAATGAAATATTAAGAAAATGTTCTGATAAAAGGTGCACAGTAAAGGATGTCTTGTTGGCATTTTACACATTGTAACTGCCACTTTTATCACTGAAATTTTTGATAATATATATTTTCTCATCTATGTCTTCACTTCCTTCTGCACTGTAAAAAATATTGACTAGCCCCTCGTCAAATGATTCTCAACGCTAAATGTCGGGGGTACAGACTAGTTTTGCATCCTACTTTTGACACACGCTGCGAGCCCCTGGCTTGTTTTGTGTTCGTCAGATGACAGTTACCAGGTGTCGGTTAGTTTTTACCACGTCCCAAAAATAGCTGGAGCGTTTCTGCCTTGTTTTGGAAGCAGGTCCTCGTTAATGCTGCGTATGATAACAAAGTACCTAGTAACAATAATAACGAAAAACAATGTCAAAACGAGGGAGGCTTGTTTAGTGACGATGTTCAAAAGATGCATCGTCTTGTTCCTACTTAACGAATGAAGCTCAAACTAGGTCAAAACTAGGGGCCCAACTAGGCCCTAATCAACCCATAGTCAGATGACCAGCAGATCCTACGCCGCCCAATCCAGTCATCGAATTTGCCAGCGAATTCGTTTGAAGACCATCATATTATTAAATATCGGTGGTCTTCAAACGAAATCCCTTACTAGTTTGATGACGAATTCATCCCGCCCATTCCAAAAACGCTCAAGATAAAATGAAAGTGTATTTCTGAAATAATGTGCTTTCTTGCAATGCACCTTTCGTATATCAAGCGAACCTTTCACTTCCAGCGCCCGTTTACAGTTATCAATCGAATCAGAAGCATGCACATAGCTATCGATAGATCTGAACCTAAGAACACAGAAGACATTTTGTAGAGTACCTGTCTGAGCCTATGCAGTGGAGCCCGTGAGCCGCCCAAACCGCAGCTGCCTCATGAACTTGATGATAGGTCTGAACCTCAGATTGGCCAGAGCTTGGCCGTCAATAACCAGCTTATTTATATCCACAGTTGTAGTGACTTAGGGTTTGGAATTTGCCAAACCTAAGTTTTGATTACCAAGAGAAGTTTTGTAATTCTTGCACTTGGCTTTTCTTCATAACTTTGGCGGAAATCGTCGTAGTGAAACTTCAGTGTTCCGTTAGCTGTCGGTTCTTGAGAGAGTTGGCCAGGCCGGACACCGGGGGCGGCTCCACAACTTTCGAAAAATTAAACCTAAGTCCTATTGCACTGCATGGAGAGCAATTCATTTAAAATCGCTCTTGTCCCCCCCCCCCTCGACAACTTTGCAAACGTCTCTGCGCAATTTGGTTGAGAATAATGGCTTATGGCAAGTTATTGAATCAGAACGTCGATCACTGCAGGTCATATATCGGCAAGCAATTCTTCATAACTAGACACTGCACAAATGGAAACGATACAGGTTTGCCCAGTGATAAACACTCGCACTTCACAGACGCGCGCACCCCCGACCGAACGCGGCACGGCACAGCGCAACTGGCGCCGGGAAGCCGGGAACGCATTAAGTGAAGGATTCACAGGTGCGCAACTTTACTGCGAACACTAAAAACCTACCGCAAACGATTAAAAAAAAAAACTTTTAGGGCAATCGGAAATACAAATGTATTGACTTATAGAAATAAAATTGTCATTCACCTTCCAAATAACCCAACAATTTATTTGCCGTAAAAAGTGTCTGGAAATGGAAAGTTGCAAACATGATTCAGCAAGTAGGGAAACACAGCAGCTACCTGGCGAATAATCTCAGGCTGGTTTAGTGACGAGTGCATTGCTACGGCTTGTTCCTCACCCTTCACAGATTACTATGACAAAACTACCCCTAGTATTTTGATCATCCTGAGGCTGGCTTTCACCTAATAATTTGATGAGGGTCTTCCTCGTTTCGGATTGAGGCGAAAACAAACGTCTAACAACCTTGATAGTTAATTCAGCACTTCAAAACAAAGGTACACCTAGGGTATCATTACAATACCGGATCATAACGATCTGGATAGTTCTCAGCCTGTGAGCTAACTAAGCGGTAACTAGTCAAGTGGTAGGTACCGGAAGCATTGACAACCTGGTGACTGTTTCGAGACCCTTGTTTTGACACATAGCTCGTCAATATTTTTTACAGTGTGTGTGGTCTGATACCACTAAAAATTAGCAAGTGGAATGCCCAATGTATCATATCTGATACAAAATTTATTTCCGAAATTTGAACTGCGAAAAAATATTTGACATCAGATTTCGAACAAGGGACCCAAAATGAGTCATATGTCACAAGGTGTTAATTTTTGGAACCGTGGAACTATGTGTGGGCATTAGAGGGTTAAATTGCAGAACTAACGACTAGTTAACCATATTGGGAACAGGCCGCCGCGATTGCTCCCAAAGGTCTTCCAATCAACAGTAGAGCTGGGAGAGACTGATGACATAAACGCTGAAACTATGATGATATGTTGATAATCCGTTCAAGGACCATCCAAATAAGTCCTTGGGGATATCTCAGGATCAACGTGCACGCAACCAGCTGAAAACGTCAGTGCTGTAAATTTCACATTGCAATAGAAGGTGAACAAAGTTTTTGAATGCTCAGAGTGGGTAGTAAAATTTCAGCTAGCACTTACTCCAGGGTTTCGATGCTGAAAAGGAACGCCTCTGGGAAGAAGTCGCGGACATGCTCAGCCGCTGGGTCCGTCACTCCAGGTGACCCTGCGACCTCCACGTCTTGCGCGAATTCCAAGTCCTCTACGACATCCTGACCACCGACTAAAAAGGCTATTTCTTCCTTATCAGCATCAATCATATGTATCTGTGCAGTGAAAATCAGCTGTCAAGGATGTGAAAATGAAACACTTAAACATATCTGACACATAGGTTTGAACAAGTTTAGCTTTTATAAGAACTTAGCAATGATTTCTTGGAATATCATCCCAGCAATCAATAAGAAAAGACAGTCTCGTCACGTTAACTTCTCCGCTGACGGTGTGATACCGGGCTGACAGAGGGCAACGCAACCTCCGCAAGAACTTCCGAAACGACTGTGCAAAGAGCGACTCGTGCAATATGCAGACAAGAGGCACCTGCGCCTTGAAGAGCTATCTCGCTACGTGGCCCAAAGGGCTAGCTTGTAGAGATGGGCTGGCAAAGAGCAGAGCGACTTGGTGCGGTAGATCCTCAGACAGGACCCCATGATAGTGCGCAAGAACTGCGAATCTCTCCGATATCCAACTTACTAAGGAACCTTCAACACAAACTATCCCCCGCTGCTATATGAATGTCTCAGTGCTGACTTAGTGTTGGAACAATGTTACATAGATGTCTGGCGCTGCTTACAGACTTCTGTCGGTTGAATTTTAGAAAGCACAAAAATCAGTGGAGCACCCCTATCACAGTCCGCTCCGCATCGATCAGTTACCCTCCTAGCTGAGTTAGCATGGTGCTAGTCGAGACTGCCACGACTCACTCCAGAGTTTCCAGGCTGAACAGGAAAGCCTCCGGGAAGAAGTCGCGAAGCTGATCTTCCTGGGAAGGTGCAGCAGCTACGCTAGCGAGCGCGACCGGCGGCGGCGGCCCTGCCTGACCCCGAGCGCCGAAATCGGCACTCGCTGGGCTATGAAAAGCCACCGGCATGACACGATGACTTCCAGAGTAGCTCACACGCGTAGACTTTTGAAAAAAAAAGTTATAGTAAGGAATCAGTCAAAGCAGTTTTTAGGCGACCAGCAACTGCATGCTGACAGTATTATCAGTAAAATCAAATTAGCATACAAATCGTAACGCTAGCATTCATAACGATTCTTTGAAGAGAAAAATCCTTATCCACAAGCCTTTAACGTACTTTTACTGTAATGCGCCAATTTACTGTGAACAAACCGAAAAAAAACTTATTGCTATTTTCAAGTTCTTCGAGTCAAACATTTATCAACCATACAAAACAGTTTCTTTTCTAGTAACTTAACAGCACCGTTAAAGATAATGCAAAAACAAAATGCTCTTTTCTTTGCAGCTTATATTCCGAAAGCATTCTCCCTCATTTATCACAAAAGCCCCTCAGATATGAGATATCGAGATAATTCGCAGCACTTGCGCACGCCATCATCCTCAAACCACGCTAGGTGAGTACCAAGCCCATTTCAAACGAGAGCCTCGTGATAACGTTACGTCCAACGGTGGCAAAGACGCGAATCCCTAGCGCGGCTCACAGCAGTCTCAAGCCGGGTGTGCCTGATCTCCAGTTAGTACCAGGCGCTCTGGTGGGGGCCAATGCGGCAACCCTCAGTTCGGCTCTTCGCCGGAAAGTTGCGAGAGGAGATACCCGACTCTGCTAGTCCCGGTCCAAGAGAATTGGGCAGCCAATGTTTCGCGAAATTTCAGGACTTCTCTTATTCCAACCCCAAAAGCATGTCAAGCAGCTAGGCTGAAGATACCAGCAATTTCCTCTTGGTGTTGAGGCCACGAGAGAATGGATTAGAAGCATACGTCTGGCGTTGCCGCGTTAAACTCGAGCACTTAGTTGCTCGGTTGGTGTCATGCATGCTGATAGCTAGCGTTGCACCACAAACGTGCGTGGTTACAGCACAAACCTGCATTATCGGGAGGCAGCTGACGGGCGCTAAGACGTTGACGGCGTCGATGATGCTGGTGGCGGGGGAGAAATACCCAGCTGGGAATATGTGGCCATGGTAGAAGTGGAATGGGCGGGGACCTGAAGGAACACTCTGGAATTTCAGGTGAGGTTTTCCCAGCGGCAGCCCCGACAGTAACCTACCGTGAAGAAAGCAGGAGTGGTCGATGTTACGCGGCTTGCCTGGATTTTATCCTCGGTGAGCTCTGGCAGTTCCTTGGCCTGAACTCTCTTGTAGCAGGGCCGAGTCTCCAGGGCCAGGTTGGAGAGAACGAGGAAGCCGGCTTCCTGCGAAAAAAAAGACGAGGCTTTTAGAGAAGAATTCACTGACATTGTCAGAGCCGAAGACAAAAACATTAGGTCGACATTGTGTCATTAAGAACGCGTTCTAAGCAATGTTTAGCTGTTGAGAGGGGATCGATATCATAAATATTGTGCGATATCCATGCACAGTACTGAACACTGTGCCAACTATTCAAGAAATAAAACAATCCGCAATGATATTCTGGTCTTCCTAGCCATACTAAAATCTCATACCACCCGGTTGCAGTTTCCAATGTCGGTTCACTTACATCGAAAGGCTTGATGGCGTCCTCGCGATCCGTGCGGAATCGCTGAGACCGTATCGGTGGAGGGATGAAGCGCGACGACTGGGCAGCTCCGCTGGTTTCAGACTCCGGCGTTTCCTCCGGGGTTGACTGGCCAGTAAGTTCAGCCACCGTGGCGCCTCCGCTGTGGGATTGGAGGGTGTTAGATACCGTCGCTCTGGTGAGTCTGGTGGCAGTAAGACGCGGATCATTGCGGTCCTTCAGCTGGATTTCACAATCAAACTTTCAATGAGGAGGTAGACACTAACTTAACAATCAGTAGGAGGTAACTGGATGCCACCTCTTTTGCGACTCCTCTCTGACGCAGAGCGTTGGAAGTGTCAAAGTGCACAATTGTTTCCCAGTCGCGGACTAAGTAAATGCCAATATTCCTGTATGTAGAACGTAATAGAATGCAACCTACTATGCTCACTTTCAGGAACAAAGGCTCAGCATTGGTACCGACTATTAGCCACTCTGCTCTTGAACAAGTGTCTATCCTTACCATTTGATGATAAGTTAAATCCATTATTTTGTGTATCGCCTTCTTCTTCACTGAAAGCGTCTACCAGACATTTACGAACCATAATATGTAACAGTTCACCAATGGCCATTGGCCCGAACTCACCTTCGCAGAGTGTCTACCAGTGAAGACTGCAGCTCCTTGCAGTAATCGCTATCGCTGCGGACCTGGGAAGGTCAGAATAGGAGCTGTAGGTAAACGCTTGGTTTTTGTAGTTTTTAAATGCCAGAAAGGTTTCCCATCACGATGTTCAACACTATATTTGGTGCATCGATGGGGATGTTACAAAATCAAGGCCCTCTAACCAAATAGTCTTAATAGTCTTATCAAATCAAAAAAGTCTTATCGACAGCCATATTTATATCTATTGTCTGGTGTGTAAGCATCCAAGCACATCGTAGGGAACAAAAAATGCATTTCTTTAAGATGAACACAACCGCTAACTAGTTATTGGGAAGTCGTCCACCAAACATTCAGGCGACCATCGTCCATCTCTATCACGTGAATCAACTGGCATAGAGCTCCTGTTGGTCAGGACAACTTTCTCATAAAACTCCATGTCGTTTGCCTTCTCACCTGGTTGGGGCTCTCGAAGCTATGAATGATGAACTGCTGCAGCTTGCTGAACACAGTGTCCAGTGTGATCTGGTTGGACGTGCCCAGAAGTTCGGTGCTCTTGTCCACAGCGCCTGGGAACAATCACAGATATTATGTAGAAGATATCGAAGACACCAAGAATTGACGTTGCGTATGAATTCAGCACCGCCGTGCTGACGGTGAATTGACGGTGAATTGCTGAATTGACGGTGCGTATGAATTCAGCACCGTCGTGCTCGTCTGGTGCATGGTGAAAGGTCCATGGGCTAATGAAATAACGAAAAGGAATATCTGCGCTATACTTTGTCGATCAAAGGACATGGAAATAGTTCGTATTAAAAGGACCTTCACCTCGATAACTATTGTACTTGCAATAACAATAAATAGATTTGTTTGGCAAACTCTCGAATAACATATGACATGAACATGAACATGATAATGAACAAGTTCTCGTTCATTATCAAGCCACTTGAGATTATCTGCTTTTTTTGCCAAATCGTATTTATCACTCTTCCCCACAGCGGACTAATATTTACTAAAATTGTCCCACAACTGGCCTTTTTCACGCATCATTTACAAGATGCATTGGAATCCGCATCAGACTATATGTAAATGGCCCTAAAGCATGGCTCTTGCAACCCTTACGAGTTCCCCGCATTTATTTATGAGTTTCAACATTATACTATACTCACTGATTCCACAGACGGAGTTGGGAGCGGCACGAACGGTGAACGAAGCGGAGTCTCCCGGCTTGACCGTCTTCTGATCCCAGCTGACCTGGACCTGAAGTCAGCAAAACACAACAATGTCAACTGTAACACGCCATTTAAGAAAATTGATGTGATTCACAACTATGTACCTACTTAAGTAGATTCTATAAAACATTAAAACCTTAGGCCTGAGTGACAAGCGGGGGTAAACAAAGACATGAACGTTTACGACGGATGCTCAACATATTTGCTAGCAATTTTTATTTTTTACCCTATCAAATTTGGGGAACTTAGTTGAAATCGTGAAATGGTTAGAACAACGCGATCATCCTGCATGATGTGTTGAAATTCGTCATATCATTAGAGCTCAATGATATACATACACCGATATTTAATTATGAAAAGTTTGGGATTTGCAGTGGAAAGCAAGAAAAAAGACATTAGACAACCCGAAAAATAACAGAACTGCGAGTTTTACCCAAAACCAACGAAACTAAGCTACACATGTCACCGAACTTTCTACTCCTACATCACTGTGGCATAACTTACAGTGTTGGGGAAGCACTTGTCGACCTTGAAGACCCTGGAGTCGCTGACCACTTCGCCACTCTCCTTGATGTAGTAGACAAGCAGCTTGAACTCGGGGCCCATCTTGGGCAGCACCGGGAACGTCAGCGTGTTAGTGTTCATGTTGCCCGCCTTGATGATCTTGCCTCGGGACAGAATCTGTTGAAAGGAAGACATTTCCATGGTGAGCTAGAGGGTAAAACGACGAACACCACGACAGCTACTGCGTAGCGTAATTCCAACTAAATGAGCAAGTAAAGGACGCGTATAGGCATAAAATAGATCAAGCATAACCCAATTTGAGTGAGGATCGTGGCTAAGGCAGCCCTTTGCCAGTCTGTAAATTTCTCAAAGACTGCGGTTGTACACGACTCACGAGTGCACTTATTTGTATATGCACCCCATCAACCACTGCATACTTGTTACCTATTGTGCTGGCGGAATGGAATTCCCTTCCCGATTACCAGAAGCCTTTGCGTTATAAAATACGGGTGCATGCTGCTGTTCTTGTAGACCATAGAGAGGAGGTATCCTGGGTGTTGAGGACAGCAGATCATGTTGCCTACTTTGAAAACATAGCGCGGACGATTCAGGTCTAAAAAGCAGCTTCCTTCAGCTAACTAACAGAAGTCTGCCGGTAAGTACTCGGGCAGCCAACTTAGCTGTCAATTGTCTGGATGAGTGTGGCCTCCTGCTACCTACCTTGTAAACCATGGCTGGCACCGGTCCCTCCTCAGTTGAGAGCAGTTTCACAGTGACATCTCCGGAGCAGGGCAGCTGTTCGGGAAGTTCGTGCGCGTCGATGCTCAGGTACGAGTGGGAAGGCGAGAAGAACGCCCTCAAAGTGGAGTGCGAACTGTCAGAATCGCCACCGACGCTGGTAGAAGTCTGTGGGCACACGAACACGACGAGACGATGTTAGATCAACGTTCGGTGACGTTTACTTTATGCAATTACTGGTTCATGTATGGGATTTGGATATTTTGGTGGAAGGAAGGCCTAGTAAACATCGACAGCATACAAACCTTCGGTTATCCACACACCTGTCCAGCCTCGAAGCTATGACCGCGAAAATTCGGAACACGACAGGCGAAAGCAAAGAACATTTTGGGGTGAAACGAAATAAGTCCAATTAAAAATTAACATAAAAGCAATCGACAGTCCAAAACACATTCTCGCTGACGTCAATCATATCCGTTTCGAATCCATACTTCCCCGCCATGGGCCATGGGCCTGGGCCCATCGCACACTTTCTCTTTCCCTGTTTATTTTTCCTCACGTCTCCCCTTATTTCCCACATCCTTCCTCTCTTCACACTCGTCCTTCCCTCGCACGCATCATCAGTGAGTACATAGTCACCCACTCTTACCCCAGCCCACCTACCGAGATGTCAATGGAGTCGATGTCCTCAGCCTGCGGTGGGATATAGTAGACGATACGACCGTTTTCGTCTGTTTTATACTCGCGACATTCGCCACCGGTGGTGCGGCGATTGGGCTCCGAAGTCTCCCAGAAGAACGGCGTGTAGCCGAACTCGGCCTGCACGTGCGACTCGTACTGTGGAAGGTATACAATAATGAGATAGAATTTGTGATAGAAAAAGCAAAACCAAACGCATGCGCGTTGGTTTATGCTATGTATCCACAACATTGCACGAAGACCAGTATGAGCGAAATAAGACAATTTATGGTTGTTGAAAACAGGTGCTAAAGCTGACTGACAAACGTGTAGTTGATTAAAAAAAAAAGTTAAAAAACACGGTCATTAGACCTGAGTAGTTACGGAGCAAACGAAAACCTTGTCTTACCTTCTTATGTGTGCTATAAACGGGGTCATCGGGAGTTGGCTTCTTCTCGTCACTGCAAACAGATTGATGAAAAAAATGTTAGTCCCAGACAAAGATACGATAGCGTTAATCCACTGGACGAGGTTCATGGGAGTTGAACCGAACATTGGACAATCATGTAGCATGTTAGCCTTCTGAAATATGAAAGAAAGTCTCTGGTAGACGTTTCTCTTATTTTGTTGTCAAATATTTTTCTTTAATTAGTTGAAATAAAATAGAACAAACAAATAAGACCGTATGATTCAATCCGCTATATATCGAGACACCGGAACATTCCAAGGCAAAAAAAGCAAGCACGGCAGATGGCTTTAATTTTAGATGGCTTTTGCGCTCGTTCGCGGTCCCGACACACAAAGCTTCAAAATAACGTACCTGATGACCCTCTCCTTGTACTTGGCTGTGTAGCAGACCTTGACGATTTCATTCTTCGCTGCCTTACCATCTCTCATGCTCAGCGTGTACTGAAAAGAAAAGAAAAACGGAAGCGACCATAATGTTAATTATTCTTAGACATCCATCGCTGTTTTATATTGATCAACACAATAATATGTTCTTTTTTGTGGCTGTTTGATGATCATCTTATTTTACTGATATTGAAATGAACACTAAGTGTGCAGGCCTTGGTTACCATTTAACGAAAAATAGAGTGATGAAACGGATGGTGAATCCACAATATTTATTCACAACCGAACGAAAAAGTCGCTAAAATAGTCCCGATATCATATTGTTTAGCCTGTATTACAGTTGGATTACTGGGTTTCATCAGCGTGCACATCGCACAAGGCACAAGTCGAACCCTTGAGGTCAATCAGCGTCAAGCACCTTACTTCTGACCAAACGCTCACGTGTCATGTGCGCTCTCGCCCCTATCGAGAGCACAAATGACGTCAGGTTTGCGCAAGCCTACCTCTCCGTAGAAGGGCAGCTTCGGCTTCAGGAACTTCTGCGCGTTGTCGCTCTGCCTGAGGTTGATGAAGGAATACGCTTGACTGACCTCCTTGACCTCAACCTGCCGGAGTCCTGTACCCTGCTCTTCCACATCGATGGTGATGATGACCTGAAGAAATCAGCGAGGAGATATTGGCCAACGTCAGAAAAAAATCAGCGCACGTCAGCAATCAGCGTAATAAAAGCAATGTTCGTGTAGTTTATAGTTATGTGTAGCTCTGTGTGACCGGCTGAGACGCTGCGTGGCCCAGACGCGCCTGGGGGACGCCGTCTAGCCGACACTGACAAATGTGTCCAAGGGGGGTGTCCTGTTACATGTGTGGCGACGGGGGCGCCGAGTCGCGGTGGTAGCGGCGCCGGGTCGTGCGAGAGGGTTGGCAGTGTGGTTGGAACGGTCGCAGGAGAAGCACCCAATACACTCGACTACAAGCTATTTCGGCACCATGCCTAAAGTGAAGGCATCTGCGAGTGCTAGTGCTGGTGTGACACCGACGGCAGCGGAGTCCGGCGGAAGGGCCACTTTCGACCCTCGGCTAATACCCGAGTTCAGTGGCGAAGGGACCGGTGCGGACATAGTGGAATGGTTCACCCGTGCCGAGGTTTTGAGCAAGCACCATGGGGTGAATCTGGCGCTCGTGCTGCCAGCACGACTGACTGGCGGTGCCTTCGCGGTCTGGCTGCAGATGTCAGAGGAGAGCCGCCGCTCCGTGGACAGCGTCAGGGACGCGCTGTACGACGCCTTCGCCATGGACCCGCTGGCGGCCTACGACGCGTATGCCAGCCGCCGTCTCCAGCCGGGCGAGTCGGCCGACGTTTATCTGGCGGACCTGCGCCGTTTGGCCACGCTGCACGGTGGAGTATCGGAAAAGGCCCTCGCTTGTGCCTTCATCGCTGGACTGCCGGACACCGTCCGCAGCGCGATTCGGGCCGGCACTCGAGCAGAGGCGCTGGACCTGGCCAGCATTCTGACGAGGGCGCGGGCAGTGCTCAGCGACGAGCGCACCTCCACGGTGGCGGCGGCGACCCGTGAGCGGGCCGACGGAACGAGCCGCCGTAAACCGACGGAGCGCAGAGCCAGCCGCCCCCCGCCGCGCTGTTGGGTATGTGACCAGGTGGGTCACATCGCAAGAAGGTGCCCAAACGGTCGGGAGACCGCGTCAGCGCCAGCGCCCGTCTCCCAATCAGTAGCGCGCACACTTCCGGTCGTGTGGATCAGCGTGGACGGGCGTAAGTGCCGTGCTCTAGTGGACACGGGCTGCACGGACACACTCGTTCATGCTGGAGCCTGCTCGGACTGGTCACCGCGCCCGGTCAACATGATGACCGTGAACGGCGGGACGCTGCGCTGTCTGGGCATCGCTGAGATCACCGTGCAGCACCGGGAGAACCGGGCGAGCCTGACGGCCCTGGTCTTACCCGATCGGCCGCTGGGCATGGACGTGGTGCTCGGTATGTCTGGTATTGTGGCACTGGGCGGAGTGTGTGTGAAGATGCCCAATGGCGTGGAATTTGGTGCGGCAGTGGTGCCGGCAGCGGCAGCGGCGGTGGCGCCGACAGTGGTGACGGGGGCGGTGTCGGCTGTGGAAGCAGCGGCACCGGCGGTGACGGCGGTGGCGCCGGCGGTGCCGACGGTGGTGACAGGAGCGGCGCCAGCAGCGACGGCGGCGGTGGCGGTGCCGCCGCTGGTGACAGGGGCGAGGCCAGCTGCTAGGACAGCGGTGCCAACGGAGACGGCGCCGCCAGCAGCGACGGCGGCGGTGGCGGTGGCGACGCCAGCTGTGCGTACGGTGGCCCCTAAAGTCGTGGGAACGGCGGCCGCGGTGCAGGGCGAGACGGCGGCGGCAGGGCCGGTGACAAATGGAGCAGTGGTGGCGGCCAATGCCAAGGCCGCGGCAGGGACGGCGCCCGTGACGGGGGCGGGTCCGGTGAGAGGGGCGGCGCCGGCCGCCAGTGTGGACCGTGGGGACCTGTCAGTGGACGCCGTTGATTTTACGGCCCGGTTTTCGGCGGACAGTGGCGAGTGGACTGTGGCCTGGAAGTGGACAGACGGAGAGGGCCCGGACCGCCTCCACAATACTGTCGCCCAGTACAAAGTGCCGGACGCGGCGCGGCCAGCCTATGACGAGGAGCTGGAACTGTGGGCTCGAGAGGGGTGGCTGCAGCCATATGACGAGCGAGTGGACGGCCCAGCGCGCGGTCTGATACCTCTGATGGCGGTTGAACAGCCCAACAAGGACAAGGTGCGGCCGGTATTGGATTATCGCGAACTCAACAGGCACGTCACCGCCCATACAGCAGACGCAGAGGTGTGCGCAGAGCAACTCCGTCGCTGGCGGCGGCACGGCTCACGATTGGCAGTGCTCGATCTCAGAAAGGCCTACATGCAGCTCCGGCTGGACAGACGGCTTTGGCCATACCACACCGTACGAGTGCGTGGTCAGCTTCACTGCCTGCAGCGCATGTCATATGGGCTGAATGTAGCTCCGAACATCATGAGATCTGTGGTGCGGACTATACTTGAGCAGAACGAGGCGGTCAGCCGGGGCGTTCTCCCGTACGTTGACGACCTTCTCGTGAATGAGGACGTCATCTCCGCGGAGCAGGTTGCAGAGCACTTCTCCCGGTACGGCCTTGTCTGCAAGCCACCGCAGCGCCCGGCTGACGGCGCTCGAATGCTGGGGCTGCAGGTGAGCTGTTCGCGCTCTGGAGAGCTGCAGTGGCGCCGGGACAACCCCGTCGGCGCACCGCCAGAGGTGATGACGCGCAGGGCGCTGTTTGCATGGTGCGGCCAGCTGGTTTCCCACCTTCCAGTGGCCGGCTGGCTGCGTCCAGCTGCGGCCTGGCTAAAGAGACGGGCTAATGCTCTCAGTCAGGGCTGGGATGACCCCATCGATGACCCGGACCTGCGCGCTCAAGTCAGCCAAGTGGCTGAAAGGGTGACCTCCAATGACCCGGCCCGTGGACCCTGGAGGCTGACGGGTGAAAAGCTGACCGTATGGACAGACGCCAGCAGTCTCGCCTCGGGCGTCGTCCTGGAGGATCCGGAAGGCGGCGTAGTGGAGGACGGGAGCTGGCTGCGGCCGGAGACTAAGGCAGCCATGCATATAAATATGGCTGAGCTGGACGCGGCGCTCAGCGGCGTCAACATGGCGATCGCGTGGGGGATCAGAGTGATCGATCTCCGCACGGACTCGGCGACCGTTCATAAGTGGGTCGGTGACGCACTGAGCGGCCGGTCGCGTCTCCGGACAAAAGCTCATGCCGAGATGTTGATTCGCCGACGGGTGGACATCATCCGTGAGCTGGTGGCTGAGTTCCAGTTGACGATCACCATCAAGCTGGTCAAGTCAGATGAAAATCCAGCGGACGAAATGACACGCGTGCCCAAGGAATGGCTTCGAGCCTGCAGGGCAGAGGAGGAGACGGCAACGGCGACAGGCGCGGTGCCGGTGGCGGCTGCAGTGGCGCCGGACGGAGAGTCCACACACCCCGACACGGCTGCAAAAATTCGAGCGGTGCACGAGAACATTGGACACCAGGGTGTCAGGCGCACGCTCTGGTATTTGCGGCGTGACGGAGAGCAGTGGGCCAATAAGCCAGCGGTGCGCGCAGTGATTCGGACGTGTGACGTGTGCCAGTCAATCGACCCGGCACCGACCCGCTGGCGACACGGGTCACTGGGCGTTCAACTGACCTGGGAGCGTCTCGCCATCGATGTCACACACTACCGTGGCGATCACTATCTGACCGTGGTCGACTGTGGTCCGTCCCGCTATGGAATATGGCGGCGATTGCGCCGGTCAGATGCGGCCGAGATCACTGCTCATCTCGAAACCGTCTTTCTGGAGCACGGGGCGCCAGCAGAACTGCTTCTGGATAACGCCACTGAGTTCCGTGGTCGCCGCATGGGAGCGTTCGCGGCGAGATGGGGCGTGACCCTTCGGTTCAGGGCGGTGCACGAGGCAGGTGGGAACGGCATCGTGGAGCGTCATCACCGGACGATTAAAGTGATGTCAGCCCGCAAAGGATGTACCATCGCGGAATCACTTCACCGCTACAACATGACGCCCCGAGATGGCTCGCAGCCTGAGAGCGCTCCCGCCGCCGGCGTGTTCCGTCGTGTCGGACGTGACCTGCCGGTGACCGGCGCCGGCGGACACGATGACCGGCCGCCGCCGGCTCTCCCTGCAGACTCTGAGCGGGGAGCCGGCTTTAGGGAGGGCGACCTGGTGTGGGTGCGGCGCCGCGGGCCTGCGACTCGCTGTACTGACGTTTCCCGACCTGGCACCGTCACACGTATCGTGACCGACCAGCTTATCGAAGTTGACGGTGCTCCGTGGCACGTTAGGTGCGTGCGCCACCGGCACACGGGGCAGCCGACGGCGGCCGATCCCCCGATCGAGGACGACAGTGAGCCGGCTTTGTCGCTCGGTGCGTCAGAGCATTCATCGGCAGTCGGCGACCGCGAGACTGATCCCTCTGTAGAGGTGGAGCTGCCGCGGCCGACCTCTGATGAGCCACCGGCTCAGAACAGTACTGAACCGCGACGTAGCGCGAGAGTGGGGGCTCCGCCAGAACGCTTCGGGGTTGTAGTACCGAATAATATCGCCTAACTGCTGTAATGTATTTTGTCTTTCGCGTTGATTGTGTCGCATTTTGTGTCTCAAGTGTCTGATGTAGGTGTCCTAGTGTCCTAGTGCATTGTGCCATATTGTGTGTATGCATTGAGATGTGATCTTAAAGATCAGGGGGACGTGTAGTTTATAGTTATGTGTAGCTCTGTGTGACCGGCTGAGACGCTGCGTGGCCCAGACGCGCCTGGGGGACGCCGTCTAGCCGACACTGACAAATGTGTCCAAGGGGGGTGTCCTGTTACATGTGTGGCGACGGGGGCGCCGAGTCGCGGTGGTAGCGGCGCCGGGTCGTGCGAGAGGGTTGGCAGTGTGGTTGGAACGGTCGCAGGAGAAGCACCCAATACACTCGACTACAACTACAGTTCGTCAGCCACATGCTACACGACGGGTATCAGCGCAGAAGCAGGCATCAGCAGTCAGCACAAGGCAGCACTAGCAAAATACACAATCGAGATCTATTGAACACATCAGCTATCACCTATAATGTAAGTATTGCACATAGACCAGGCAAAGCTTGACCTAACCATTTGGTTTTTTGACAAGCCAGGACGTATTCAAATGTCAGTAGGAAATTATGGATATATTTACTAACTACCCAGAGTAGGTAATGTTTCGGACGCCCGGACAATTCTGCCATGGCCAGGTCACCGCCACAGTCCAACACTTCGTTACCTAGCGATCATCCACCCACCGTATTTCCGCCTCCAATATTGCGATGACCGATGCCGATCTTGCTGACCACCAGGTCGAATATGGCACATCCCTGCTCGTCGCTGAACTGATAGTCTGAGATATTCCTCAGCAGATCCTTATTATTGTTGTATTGCCAGCTTCCAATGCCTCTGGCTGTGGCATTGATGCTTACGTTGGCAGCAATAAGCGGCTTTCCGAAAGTGTACCTGTGAAGAGCGGATAAGACTGGAGTTAGATTCATGAGTCGGTGGTTGGTAACCGTCCTCATAGCAACAAAAGCTGAATAGAACACAATAGGGATTTATTATCCGGGCCCTGAGATTGGGACGTTAGAAAAATTGGTGGCCCGCAAGAAAGGCACCATTAGCAAACTGCAGACTGTAAAAAAGTGCAGCAATCCTACAGTGTCATCGCCCTAATAACAAATTATCAACATCGTCGCTTACTACTTACCTAACATTTACGCCTATGTTTTGTGATCATATGACCCAATAGGTACAAGTATGAACATACATTGTACACTGTACAGCCATGAGGGCGTATTTTGTCGTCATGATCAGTTATATCATCAGGACTGCCAATAATACATGAACATAAAAAATGGTTCATTCGTTGGAATCGACAAATGGCTGAATAGTGAACACTTAACACTCTAACGCTAGTCTATATCGACCCTCGTTATACGGACTTCCAGGCACATGTTTCATCATCAGATGGGGCTGGAGGGGCAGGTACTTACAGCGGTCGAGCTCAAGGTTAACTGGGGGGGGGGGGGGGCAATAACAACGTCAACGCTTAGGGTTGTTGTCTGCCTAATTGGTCTCTCATACATTGTCACTCGGGACATTGATCGCTTGGCTCTGCGCATTGTCGCTCGCGAATTCCGATGATAATCTTTGAGCTGCATGCTAGGAAGGGTTCAACATCGGGTATTGCAAGTTCAAAACCGGGGCCTCATCCGGTCCGAAAGCGTGGAACTGAATCAACAACAGAGATTACGTGCGCACTAGTCCGATCCACCGATGACGTCATATGTGACAAATGGTCGCCGCACTGGTGGCAAATACAAAATTTGCAATTAACTATGAAATGCCCTCGCGATCGCATAATGAGCCCTAAGTATTGAACATTTTATAACTCATCTTCATATAAATTCCAACCTTGCAATTCACGATCTTATGTCGGCTTCCCATGAATTCAGCAATGGTATAACAGTTTATTCGTTACAGCAAACGTCTCTCGCAAATATTTAATCACCTGAACAAACTCGTATTTCATTGGCATCGTCCTTGAGCGAATCGTTGCTGCGCCATTAACCGATGGCTGCTCAATCCCTTGTGTGCCTCTCTAAAACTGGTTATGAAATATTCAAACCATATGAGTGAACTGACCATGGGTAGCGTTACGTGCCGGGCCTGCCAATGCTCCTCTGACATTCTCAGGAATTTCACTTAATTCGCAATTAATCTGTGTAGCCCCTAATAGGGCGAATCGCTTGTTGAAACAATGGGATTCGTTTTTACAGCAAACATTTATCGTTTGATCCCACGCAGGCAGCTGAATGTTAAAAATATTGCTATTAATGGTGCTGCTATCATAGTCTGACGTTGCAAATGTACTTGCTTTCGTGCAGGCTTTCAAAAGCGCAATAAGCGTGGGCTTTTTTTAGAGAGAAATAAGTGTCAGGTGCATGGTTGATGTGTGTATGTCTTTTAGGCAATATGAAGATTCATGAATTATGTAATATGGCTATACCTACGTGATCAAAAAGCTGAGGCGAAGGCACTATACACTGTTGTGTCGGAAACGATTTTGTATAAAATACCGCTAATTAGGCTTCCTTTTGTAAGTATTGCATTTGAATTTACTTCATTTTATCGTAGAAAGAAATAAAACCAAACCCATCTTAAAGACTGAAATGCTAAATGAAGATCGGTGTTCGATGATACACAAAAATAGTAGCTAAAAACAAGTTTTTACGTCAGGCGTCACGGGACTTTCCCCGCCAGTCCCGTCCCATTCCGTGACTCTTGTGTGACGCTCCGAGCGAACCGTAACGTCCCGTGACACATCGTTACTCAGCAAGGACAGTGGAGTGCGCACTGGTGCCCGGGTCGCACTGTCGCGTCCGCTGTCACCGCCCCTGATCCCAGTGTGCCAGACACCCGGTACCGGATATACTGCACCGGAACAATAGCGCACCCCTGGGGCAGCCCAGCTACATTTAGATTTCCAGCGACACTGAACGCACCCGCCTCGGGTACACAGAGTGTGGGCATAGTCATTAGTTTGGGATGAACAGATGATGCCAACAATCAGCAATTTGTGTATGGAGAAAACGAGAAATTAGGAATTTCGCATTATAAGCAGCACAGCAGATATGAATATCCATTGGCATATGTTTTTACTTTTTGTTTATCGGTAACATTAAATTATGTTCCAATATTGTCAACCTCCGGTCGCAATGCATCTAAAATAAACATAAGCATTAAATCCAAAGTTGTCTCGGCGACGTCCTCAGTAAAGCATGATCACATAAATCTGGGTGTGCTTGCTGATAAACATTGAGAAACATCTCACTAGGTATAAAGCTTAAAAAATTAACGATGAATAATTATCCATAGAAGTTTCCACTGTATGGTTGTTTATATATATATATATATATATATATATATATATATATATATATATATATATATATATATATACAGGGTGTTTCATATAGAATGTCAATTTTAAATTTGTCATATTAGCCATATAAAACAATATATTTGCATAATTTTCAGATTCACATACACCAGAAGACTTGGACATTTGATTTTTGTCTGTTCACTTTTCTCTATCTAGACAAACGGTTCCACGACAGCCCCGTGAAGATCAACGCACTTTCGGTCCCGTCCACGGATATGGCGCACGGCCCGGAGCACTTCTTCGCAGTCCATGGGGGAGTCAACGAAGTCTTGCTCTAAATCCAAAGTGAACTATAAAGTGAAGGGTTAACTCTAAAGCAGGGTTGTGCTCGACTCAAAAAAAATTTGCTGACTCGACTCATCATTCAACTTCAGAAAGCCCTGACTCAACTCTGACTCAAACAAGGAGCTGATTTTTTTCCCTTGACTCAACTCATGACTCAAGCGGCTCAATGAAAATGTGAGTCGACTCAAACTTGACTCAATTTTTTTGTTGAGTCAAGTGAGTTGACTCAAAATTGACTCAGATAAAAAAGTTGTTGAGCGGGGGGGGGGTCGAAAAAAATATAGATATATATAATTCTGTTAAGTTGAGTCAGCTGACTCATATTTCTAAATGTTTGACTCAACTCAATGTCAAAAGTTATTTTACTGACTCAACTCTGACTCAACTCAACGACTTAATATTTTTGTCCGACTCAACTCTGACTCAACTCAACAGCTCAACATTTTATCCGACTCGACTCAAATCTGACTCATTTGAGTCAGAGTTGAGTCAAATTTCTGACTCGACTCATGAGTCAAGCACAACCCTGCTCTAAAGTGAAGCCGAAACTTTCTCATAAATTTGGGAGATGTTCTTAAGGCTTCCCGAGCTGTAACACTAGCCAACGCCTTCTGTTCTTTCGAAAATGGCGTATTAATCATTTGAGCACGGCGAGCCGCGAGGTGAACCAGACATATCCCGTTCTGAAAAAGGAATGTCAACAACTTTGGCATTGAATGCTATTTATATAAAATGTCCATCAATTTCCAACAATGCTTGAACGTGTGCACGTGCTAGACACATTTTTTTCTTTTTGAATTCCCCAGTTTAAAATTGACATTCATTATGAAACGCCCTGTATATATTATATACCTATATGTATAAGGTTTTCATTCCAAATATTGGCTCAGTTGTTTGATTCGTTGAGGACACACAAGGCTGTTCCCTTGCACCTCCGACATTTTGACAACACGTGACTCGTTTTATACTCACTTTGCGCAAACTTTAACGGTGACAGTCTTCTCGTTGCTCTCAAGAGACTCGGGTGCCTCGATCTCCAGCTCAAATGTTGGCAGAACATACTCCTCCACCGTAAATCGCTTGGTGTAGGTGTCCTGGGTAGTCAGCACGTGAATTGTCCACGAGCCCTGTGAAAGGCAAACATGAGCTGAACATGAGCACCACTGGTCACCACGGGCCAGTCCAAACATTGATCGCCACACAGACTAAACAACCTCGCCAGCCAGCACACCATCGGTTGCTGGCTTTTGCTTTGAAAACCCTGCCTGCCCTATGGATGACATTTAGAGTGTTAACCTCGGTAGGTATGTGTTTAAATAAGGACATGATGTATATGTTACGGGTCATATGCTAACTTGGGCAGTATGCAAACTACCCGGACAGTATGCATACTACCCAACAGCCCGGGCAGTATGCATACCGCCCGGGTAGTATGCATACTACCCGACCCCTTGGGCAGTATGCATACCGCCCAAAAGCTTGGGCAGTTTGCATACTGCCCGCTTTCCGACTTAAAGTTGTGTAATCCATGTCCACATTAAGAATATAAATGGCTCTCTAGATAACAATAGATCGACCGAGAAGAATTTTTGTCGTCAAACGTGATTGATCGATCGTAGGATGGAATGAGGATTGGAATAAAGTGTTGAAATTACTTTTTTCCCAAATCCATTGTTGAATAACCAGTGGCCAACAAGTCATTGTCATTGTGAAGCGTGAACTGAGTAAAATGAAACGACGACGACAAAATTTGACGTCATCAATTTTGAACAGTTCTTTTTTCGCTATAACTTTGCCAAAAAAGAGGAATCAATCTCAAATTTGGTATGTGGATAGAAGGCGGTAGGGACTATCCACATAGGTATTTTCCGTTTTTTTCGAAATTCAAAAAAAGAACTTCTTGGATTTTTTGCCTATTATATTCAAAAAATTACTTTTTTGATTGGGGGGGTCAAAATCTAAAAATTTAAAAAATCCGAAATAGCAGTTTTGTAGCCCTCTAATTCGACACCTTTTATACCTATTCTTAAACATTTTCTGTATCTATAAAGCTGTAGGCCTGACAGCTCTTCCCGCGAAACCTTTTTTTGGGTCGAAAATGGCAGAAATGACGTCACTCCGACGTCATTAGCGGCCAACCTATCATAGCCTTTGGAAATTTTTTGGTCACAATGTGTAATAGCTACGATCCCGGGAGGGTACTGAGAGTTTGGTGGCAATCGGCTCAGCGGAATTCTGGAGATATATCGAAAAAACTAGGGGGGGGGGGGACAAAAAATACCCCCCCCCACCACCCGGAAGGTTAAAACGTTTGTCATTCACATATATACGCGAGTTATTGCATTAACAAGCCTCACGAAGTGTAGTCAACATACTGCCCGAGTAAACATCTTGCCCGTTAGAAGAAAGGTGGGTGGTATGCATACTACCCGGGAGGTATGCATACTGCCCGGGCGGTATGCATACTGCCCAAGGGGTCGGGTAGTATGCATACTACCCGGGCGGTATGCATACTGCCCGGGCTGTTGGGTAGTATGCATACTGCCCGGGCAGTTTGCATACTGCCCAAGTTAGCATATGACCCGTAACATATACATGTTCGGTCCCATCCCCCGCCCCCAGCAAACTATCGGTTGCTGGCTTTTGTTCTAAGAAATAAAAGGGCAAACGCAAGCCCCATGGATGACATTTAGAGTGTTTATAATGTCGGTATATGTTTGAACATAGACACCATGTGCATGTTCTGGGTTCCATTGTTTTTCTAAATGCAACATTTCATCTAGAGCCGATAAATGCACACGCAAGAGCACAGAGAACCGTCACGCAAAACCAAGTGGGGGTCGCAAATTTTCACAAATGTATGCATTTGCTCACTGCGCAGTAACGCCGGGAAGCGTATTGACGCTAATGGATTGCCAGCAGGCCCACCATTAGACTCTGCAAGCGTTTCGCGCTTTCTGTAGCTGCGCAGCACTTTTCCAGTAGCCTTGTCTTGTTTTGTTGCCGCGCAGCGCGCTTCTATTGTGACCTGTGCAGAGCTGAGGGCGCAGCAGACAACACGAACCGGCGCTAACCGGTTCAAAGACCAAGGTCAGCACAGCCCACCAAACGAGTCACCTCCGGATGAGAGCCGCTCGTGAATAGGCGAGGTCGGATGGCCCCGATGCACGCACATCGAGAGCCGAGGTTATTCCCGGGATTCGAAATCATTAGATGGAAAACCCAGATAATCTCAGATCTCAAACGATCTTTTAGTCTTATTCGGGAATTCCCTTCTGCCCATCAAGTTAGTAAAAGCAGACTCAACTCTAAATTTGCGAATCGCACACCCTTTATCACCGTCAGGTAGGAAGGAGAGATCGCCTGTTCTGATAGTCCGCAAACAAACAGGCGATAATACCGCCGGCTTCTTGCAGTGTGCGGATGGAAGGGAGGTACGGTCGCCGCATTCCGAGTCGCCAATCGGCTCCGTCGGAGCCTCAGGTTCAAGGTTGTACCCTTCAGGGCCTGGACCGATCGGCATAACAGCTGGACGTTGGCATGGCAACAGTCCACGCCGGCTGGAGTGGGGGCCGGGCTACATATAAACAGCGGGAGGCCAGTGCCGACCGAAACCGATCGCTGGAGAAACCGTCCACTCGATATCGGGACACTACGTTCATGAAGTTCTTGGCATCGTGGTACTTTTGCGCGGTAAAAAATGTTTGCTTTTTAGAGTCAAAGAGCAGTTTCAAGAACAGAATCTGACCACAGCATCTAAAAGCTCTTTGAACGTTTCGGGGATCCGCCATGCACCAAAATAAGAGACGAAAAATCATAAGTAGCAAAATGTAACTGAATGATATTTTTTGGCACAAGCCCAAGCAAATATGAAGATCAAACTAAGAGCTGCTGGCTCCAGTTATCTAGCTGAATAAATATTTGTGTAGTGGTTGCCGGTTGGTGATCTGATTGAACAGTGACACCCGAAGAATGTTCAGCCGACGTTCATCTGTTTATGTAGAATTCCTTTTTTCTATTACATCTGTTTTTACATCCAATGTAATTAATATGTTGTCCATCTTATTGTTCAGTTGGTAGAGCACTGGACTCCCGTTGGCCTAGCGAGGGCCGTTAACTCATTCATTCAAACATTCGAGCCAAATCTATGCATACAAGCAAGGCCCTAAATACATGCATACAAGTATGTATCGTATATCTTTGCGCTCCCTTACTAACCAGAGGTGGTTCCTCGGTCAGCTGCAGTTCCAGCTGCACCATGCCAGTGTTGGTTTTCACGTTCTTCCACTGTGCCACGCGGATGTTGTCCGGAGTGGTGACCCAAACCTCATTCAGCTGAAAGACACAGCGGCGGAGCGTCAGGTCACATGCGAAACGCGATCGTGCATAGTGATTTGTTCGCGTACTGTTTGCGCATCACTCCTATTGCGCACGCTTTAGCACAATGCTTCTGCAGCATGCCGATTAAACTTGAGATTAAGGCTGGTCTATGGAAGTGAACTTTCAGTGTAAAGCAAGCCTTCGTATTTCAAAACAACAACAAAACAAAAAACGTGAAAAGCAGGTCAGATGGTAAATAGCTCATGCAGCTCTATTTGTACATGATTGAATACACCAATTTTATTTAAATCAGGGTTTCGCTGTGAAGCATCGAACCCCATCTCCATAGGATATGCTCTCGTCGCGGAACACTCACGTCATTGTTGAGGGCGGTCAGGTCGTGACTGAGTGTAACCACCCTGAAGAGCACCTTCTGACCAGGCTGGTACTTGGATTTGTCCGTCTGAACCAGCGTTAGGAACGTCTCCGATTTCAGAGTCACCTGCAGGATAGTTGGCACGAGTGGAAGGTTAAAGTTACAGAACTTACAAGCGGAAGCCACGCGGAAGCAAGTCCCTAACGCAAGAACGATGATAAAAATATCAAAAAATTTACTAACCAAGTTGGTCAATCCCGCCCAGCCAAACAAAGAATATATCAATGAATATCACACTACTGACGAAGCCTCTTCCTGAACTGAGGCACGCCCGCCGTGGCGAAATACCGGGTCATCGGACTAAGCCGGGGAGGAGGCAGGGGTGGGGAGGTGGTCTGGTCGCGGCGGGTCGATGCGCCGTGGTTTCAAGGTCGGTCAAACTCTACACTCTCCCAGCCATTTATGGACTGAGCGAGGTCAGTTGGAATCGGTCAGCGACCGTCTGGCCACGACTCTCGTCTCTCACGCCGGTAGATGGGCATGATGGGCAGAAAATGAGCGGAGCAGGATAAACAGCCGGAGGCGACAGATGACTAGAGGTAAATAAAGCGACCCAAAGCCCGCAGAGGGAGAGAATTGATACGGGGAATCTACCTCGCTTCGTAATTGCAGAAGTGGAGAATATTTTACGGATAATTATTGAACCAAGAAACTGAAAAAAGAATTAAATGAAAATGTAATCCTGCCAGCTTGGTGGCATATTATGACCAAGTAAGACCTCAAAATGTGATAAACTATGCAACGTTTGTTTGTGCGTCACCCGGATCTGGTTTGGGCCACCTTGTTTCACCATGGGTCCTAGCACCGACCCTAGGTGAACACCCGTGAGAGTTCACTCACCACAGACTCCTCCTTCCAGACGCCTTCGCCAGCCGTCAGCTCCATGTGCATGTCAGCACTGCGGGCCACCACCTTGGATGGAATGGTGATGTCGAAGCAGTACTCTCCATTCTCTGAGGAAACAACGACGTACTCGTATGACGTATCAGCCGTGGGGCGGGCTTAGGAGAAGGACGAGAAATAGCCAAAGAATTGATGCATTTGAAGACAAAAATTAGTAGGTAGTTAGAAAATTAATTATAGTAAACTAGTTATTGGTGCCTAGAAAGCGGCAAAAGCAAAAGATCCCTTCCCTATAGGCTGCCTTATATGAAATTCTGCAAGTACCTAGTGTGCATAAGTGAAATAACTTGATGGCTTTCTATTTATATGTAGCCAAGGGAATTCGCATCTCAAGTCGGGTATAAATCAAGCACACTGCCAGCCAGACCCGCACATTTACCTACCTTCAGTAAAAATAATTCAAGACAGCCTATACTCAGCCCAGATTGAGAGAAATGCTATCTGTAAACCCACCTGCGACGCTGTCCGGCACTGCAGTGTTTGTCTCAAACAGCAGGAAATCGCTCTTATCTAGCGTGGTCGACAGACTGCTTGGAACGTCGCGCTCGTAGAACTTCAGCTTGAGAGCGCGATTCGGCCCGGGTAGGTTGAACAGACTGAGGCAGGCACGTTCATCTGTGCCAGCCTGAAGTACTTTGGGTGCCGTGAACAGGTACCCGCTGAAAGAGAGAATGATGAATGTTAGAATAAAGCATATGTAGCGCATTTATCCGCTGAAACAGGGAACGGTGAACGCTAGGTACATCACATACGACAGAAAGTACCTGCTGGAACCGAGAAGAGTCCCCGCTCTTTTAGAGTACGCCGTCTAAAGCAGGAAGTGTACGTTGAAACGCGATGACTGCCAGAGTTCGGTAATTTTTAATGTATCGGCAGTATAAACGGTACCTTTGTTTTGCCGTCCAAAGGAGTTTTTTCTTTTTTTTTTGGAAGAGTAATTTTTCATTTATAAAACTCATTTATACCACGCCGTTAAGTGTAACCATCTCTGAAATCAACAGTAATTGGAAAGGAAGTGTGTTCCTTGCCGTTCCCAATATCAAAGCTGGTGACTTTTAAAGATAATTCAGACCGGTCACAGTGTGTAATTTCTACAGCAAGCAAAAACCACTCGCAAAAACCAAAAACGCTTCATCCTATGTGGTAGATACGCAATTCAGATTGAGTATCATAACTATACGTACAACCAAACGGTCATCATATCTGTATAAAGTATGTTACAGAGAGTTTGAGAAATCCGTGATTTAGTTGCAAACTCCCTAGGAAGTTTGCAAACTCCCTGACCCGTCAGTGAGTTTGCACACCCACTAGGGAGTTTACAAAATCACTAAGAAGTTTGCAACCCACTGACCGGTCAGGGAGTTTGCAAACATCCTAGGGATTTTACAAAAACGAATTTTTCAAACTCCCTGTAACATACATAAAGTTCACTTTCTCCCGAAGAGGGCCTCTTTACCAGGAGCCACCCGCTTTCATCGCCAACAACCCTTGTGGAGGCCCCTCTGGTCTGTGATTAGCCAATGCAGACCACCGATATATGTATTTGTAAACACTTCAAACAGTCTGCCTGCTCGGTGACGGTATCCAGACAGTTACTGCCCAACATCACATCTTTACGGGGCGAGAGCTAGAGATGTAAATCGGACGCCAAGTTTTTGTTATGAAGACCTACAACTGCTCACTTTTTGAGTAAAGTATTTGATAAACAATCCAAAAGAAATTACAACTTCACTTAGTTAAAACTGACAATCAAAATATCGACAAATTAGTCACTCGACAGACACTGACAACGAGTCTGTCATTGCCAGCCTGCGGTCGAGCGTTGCATTGTGTCAGTTTGCAAACGCTGCTTTTCGCTATCAACCCCAGGCGACCCTTGGAAAGCTCCGACCGCACCAGCCTAGCAATCGATTCGTGAGCCGCCTGCGGCATGATGGGTCCATTTAAAGGAAGGGTGCCACCTTCCGAAATTTTTGTTCTATGAATCTATTTTACTTATTTGAATTTTTAGACGTGGTTAGCGCGTCCACAATATACAAAAAACCGAAACATTGCATTTAATACGTTGGCCAAAAAAAAAAGATCGTTGTTTATATCACCACTACAACTCAAGGTCGTTTGATGTGGCAGCTAGGACGGCTGGCATATCCTGTTGTCATGGCAACATATCATTCTGCCATTTGCATTGATGGCGCAACTGAGACAAAAAGATGAACAAATAAAAAGGAAGAAGATAACATGATTTGAACTAAGTTGTAGTAAGTAAGTTGAACTAAGTAAGATACGTCAAAAGAACATCAAATAAGTCGAGTAAAGGTTTTTCCTTTACAATGCTTAAGAGATCTATGGAACCCTTCACCCTTCATGCAACTTACTAGAAAAACTTCCCAATTAAAATTTTAAAACTTAAGTGTATACCATAAAGAAAAAATATACCCTTTCAAAATGATAAAACATGCTTCAAAAGTATAACTTTTATACATACCTTTGCTGATTTCATGTTTTATAAAATACCCTTAACACGACGAGGAAATAGTGCTGAAGATTTTTGCCTGCCCGAATGCTGGCAGCAAAACTCGCAAATGATAACTTCACGTGCGGATTCAATGCTGACCGTCTCGAGCATAGGTAAGTGAAGCCGGTTTTTAGGTTCATGTGAGGCTAATCTTGTAAAAACTGCGTTGTGTCCAAAAGGTGGCACCCTTCCTTTAATATTCATCATGTCACGAACCACCCCCTTTCTGCACCCAGCTAACGTCAAGGTCGTCCGGCCAAAACACTTTAATAGGTGAACTGAAGCAATGAGGAACATTCATTTCGCCGTAACAGCATGACAATTAGGGAGGTTCTGTTGCATGCGAGTTGAGGTTTGTAATATTATTGTCGGGAAGACGGCAGGCTTAGGTGTGGTTCACACGTTGTTTTGAATGTCAAACACCTGGTGTACTCGACATCGACTAACAACATGAATGCCCTTAGCAATGTCAGAGGGGCAGCGGTATGTTTTTGTTTTGCATTGTAGTCAAGAATCACTGTTGTAAGAAGTCTGAGACCGCCACTTTACGTATATAGTTCGTTTCCCTGACATTGAGACTTGAGAGCATGTCGTTATCGAAGGCTTTGTTATCTGACATCTCGTCAGTACATAACTAAAAGTTGAGTATATAACACATTCAGAAATCAGTATTGACCAGCGTCGACCGCTATTTTTGGTATCTATTTCTAAAACATTACGTTACGTCTTTTTTGCAAGGCATCCGCTGAAAAAACTCAAACCTTTTGGCCTCATCATTATCCAATAAAAGACACAAATAACTGGTCATGCTACCTCTGCTGCGTCCGATCATTTATGCTGATCATGCAGCTAATAAATAAACTTCCTTGGCCCGCTGAGGGCACTCCGTACAATATCATGCGCAAATCACGCAGCTATCACGCCAGCGCACGCCACGATTGTAAGGGAGGTCGGTTCTGCCCCCCCGCACCCCTCGCCACCCTACCCCCCCCCCCCCCCTCCCTCCCAACCCCGCAAAAGTGCCAGCCCGACTGTGACATGTTCAATCACTAAACATATACGAGTATAACCTTTCATTACGTGTAAACACTCCGTTGGCAGCACGTATCGGTGGGGTAAACCTTGTTTAACTTGAGACCAGATTTATCACGGGCGGGTGGTATGTGTATATGTCGAATATTTTTTCGCGCCTTGCACAAGTTCATTTATAGATGATTGTTGCCAAGTCAAGGATGACATTTATGTCTGGGCTGCCAAAGATGGCGCTCCGTGAAGTGGATCTTGGTTGAATCCTGTACAAATATTTAGGAGCCCGAAGGTAAATAATTCATTGATTCGTTTTAATATTTAGATAAATAGATAGTTTCACATGAACTTTACCAACTTTAAAATATCATTTTTAGATTGTGTTTTCAAGAAGACCCTTCACAGGAATACAGCATTGGAAATTCCTGTTACTGAAACTCTTATTCAACAAAAAGCCGGCGTAAGAAGATCGTTTACAATAAAATAAATGACAAATTACTGAATAATGTGCAGCTGCAATGGGTTACAAAATAAAACTTCTCACGCTCCGACTACGTTAATGTGTTCGGAGGGTGTTGATATGAGCCCCTGACCCCTATGCTCCCTGACCGGTTGCTTTAGCCAGTGAGTGACCAGCGGGTGTTGTTTGGTACACCCAGATAAAGGCACGACCACCTTGACCAACCGCTCTTTGTCTAGTGGCACCTTTTTAATCGGTGTTGTCCACTTGCCGTTCGTGTCTCCTGTCACCAGCGTGTTGTTTCACTAAGAGCGAAAGCAGGATTGGCTGTTTTTGCGCCATTTCACTCTGTTCATTCGTTTTTGTATGCAGTGGATTACTGTCGGATTAATGTTACACAGAAGACGGCAGCAAGGACAAGTGTCTCTTCGAGAAGAGCAAAACCACTGGTGGTTCGAAAACATAGCTCTTTGCCTGCTCAGCCGTTCTGTTTTCCCTTTCCAGACGTCAGTCATTGCCCTGTCCTTGTCTACGAATGCTTTACTCTCGCTTCCCAACTCTTCCCAAAGACGTCCCTTCAAACTATCGGTCTATGTTAGCCGCTAAGCTACCTCCACCCCAACCCGCCCTCAGAAGTCAAAGCTAGTCTCAAGTCTACACCGGCTGCTACCCCTCCCCTTTGGCCACCCCCTCCCCCGCCTCCCCCATCCCTCCCTTGAGCCGTCTCGCGCCGCACTGGCTTCTGCAGCCAAGCGCCCGAGGGCAGGATGGATGGTTCCACCGCCAGCTCCCCAAGGTCAACTGGTCAGCTGACTGAGAGTTCGGGGCCCTCCAGCAGCCCGCAAGCCTGCTGAATACTAAATCAGACGCGGGCGGAGGGGGTGGGGGGGGAGGGGGAGGGGAGGGTCTACGGTGCGCGCTTGGCAAACACCACTCGCGTCGCTCCATACCAGGAAACCAGCATGGAATAGCCAACCTGGGCAGGTGGAATTGCCCGACTTTGTAAACACGGTGGCATGTCGTGCGGTTTATGACAGGCGCTGTCGCGAGGCCTCTGGTTCAAGTCGCCAAACAGGTGGTATTTGCCGGCATTGGGGCGCCACTTCGCGGAATTTCAGTTGATTATATGTTATGTCTTGCATTGCTGAATGAATAGCACATGCAAGGGGGATATGTGATGACAATGCATGGAAAAATGAGCTGTTGAGGTACAATGGAATGAATATAGAATGCGTAGTATGATAACCAGTCTTATCAGTTACTACAAATTATCACCACCAGGGCTGCGGAGTCGGAGTCGGAGTTGGAGTCGGTCGGAGTCGATAGAGTTCTGCCAGGAGTCGGAGTCGGAGTTAACGCTGCATGGCTCAACGCAATGCACTACACCTGTTTGATTGACGATACTGCGCTCGCCATTAGATTTTGTCAAAAAGGTCATTTTGCTGTTTTGGACGAAAGTTTTCAGCGAAAGAAGCAGACGACGGTGAATGCCCCAGAACCTGGTTTTTAATTTTGCATGTTATTTTTAATGCATATTTGCAACGCAAAGTTTTGGAAGGTGCATAAGCTCATTTCAGGCAAGATAAAAACAACTCCATTATGAACTTTAATATCATGATATGCATTGGATCATGGTGGATAGATCAATATCATAATAGAACCGTGCGGAATCGGAGTCGGAGTCGATTTTTGAAGCCGGAGTTGGAGTCAGAGTCGAAATCACCCTAAAATACACCACTCTGATCACCACTAAGTGCGGCTAGGCACCTAACTATTGTCTTGCTTATTTTTGCAAGCAAAGTCATGTGATCATTGACTTCAAAAACAATATCGTATATCTAAATCACCGCAGAAAGCCAAGTAGGTATGTCATATGTATGAAGCCTAGTAGTGTAACGAATATCTACTACCGAAGCTACTGATTTTAGCGCCCGGCGGTAGCCTTATCAAATTCTTACCAAAGCTCAATCTTTTAGCTCCGAAGCTGCGTCAATGTCAACCTTGAACAACTCGTTGTTACGCCAGACTTCTAAGCACATATGACCAATGACCATTGAACGAAACGTCACTACTGAGACGAACTACGCTTCTTCGGTGTGCAGAATGACGACATAACACCCGTGAAAAGTGAAAGTTAGCATTGACTTGTCTACTGCTCGGGGTCTGTGTGCCTCTGCGGCAGTAATGTATGCATTACGTAGGGTCAGGGTAGGAGAACACAAACAAATGGTCGCGTCGGGGGGACGGGAGTCAAACGTCCGCCAATCGTCACTTTGAATACAAAACAATATGCGAGATGTTGGCACTTGGCTTTTGCCAGTGATAGATGCCCTTTTTCCGCTTAAATAATATGGGTGCAATGTGCATTCGAGCAGCATCACAAGTCTGTTGCAACTGCGGCAATAGGCACTAGGCAGGTTAAAACGAGACTAAAAATGTTATGGTTTCAATGACATCATCTGTTGCCGTAACAAACTTCAACTAACTTAGTTTCTTTGGTAGCGGCCCAGTCACACTGGAAAAGTCTTGCAACAGCGTTTGCATCTCTATTACTGGAATCAAAATCGTCTACCTCTTTTCAGTCTGCGCGATCGACAGATTTTCCATATTAGCAACCGCCTAGTGCTTAACGTCGACACGGCTGTGTTGGTAAATAATGAAATGAAATGTCGCAATACCACTGAGGCTTATCATATACCACTACATTTCTAATCTTAGCAATGCGAGTTTTAGGAATCGTGGGATAGTCTCTCAAATCTTGCAGCTAGTATGCCGTAAATTGGCCGTTCGCTGACGATAATGAGCTACAGTTGACGACAGCTTCAAGGCCATCATTAATCTTAACATGCCATTCCAAAATTAAATTATTGCAACATCGAACAGGACAGCTGAAAGAAACAGCAGACAGGTTTGAAGACGACGCTTCAGGAAGATATTTTATGCATCAGCATCAATCAAACTCGGCGTCTTGCGATCAGCGACGTCAGTATCTGTCCTTGGTTCAAAACCTGTACGCAAATTTGGAAATGTGGCACTATCTGAATTAAATATTTAAATCCTTCATATGCTGCGAGCATTTGAAAACCATGGAGATATTATCAATTACCATTTATGCAATGAAACCTAAAAATGTAGGATTTTTCTGCGTTTTTTTATATGAATTTTATGCCGTTTTTATCGAAGTTACCAAAAAACGAACCCGTGCCTTGGTCCTCTTGACCTGACCTCAGAGGTCAACGATTGACCTGAAACCTTAAAATCGGGTACCAATCTCTGAGTCTCGTAACGGCGCATACGCTCGTTTTTTCTGAGAAGCTCTAGCTCCATCAGGGCCGAAACGGTGAGGGGGTCAAAGCAACCCCTCGTCTGGCGCATTATGTAGAAAACCAATAGGACTGCGGCGAGGGTTAAACCATGCGTCTTCAGTTATTGCTAGGAAGCATATAACTTTAAGAACACTTTTATGCGTTGACGAAAGCCCGATATCAGCCACCGTCCATGAATGCATAAATCGAATTGTTGTAAAATCTCCTTAGGGAAGGTGACTAAAATAAATAGAAAAATGAATATTACTGGGATATTGCAAAAAAGGAACATCAAATTAGAAACGAGATAGAGTTAAAACAATTCTAGCTACTGAAACAAGTTCCGCTGATATCCAGTTATTTCCGCTGGCCGCAATTCACACCGGTGACCTGTACGAGCCAGACTGATCAAGTGACTTCAGCTGATGATCCAAATCGGCCAAAACAAGTTGGGGCCAAAATCATTTTTTATCCAAGGTACGAACGTCTACAACCTGCACAACTAGCGACGACTGATTTTTTATAATTCACTGAAAAATAGTTTTTGACGGCTCAGACCAAGGCCCTAAAACAGCTCAGACTTATTAACCCGGCAGTTGCTGGGGTATTTCGCCACCCACCGTTTGCTGGGGGGGGGGGGGGCGTTAAACGCCCCCAGCCGATAACTCGAGAACCAATAGGCGCAGCGAAACGCACGAGGCGGCAAACGAAAGAACGCGACAAGACGCTTCAGATGAGTACTTTAAAGTTGAATTTTGAGGTCACAGGTCGGGTCAAGGTCAGGTCAAACACCTGAAATCGGGCTTTCAGTAGCATGGACTTCAGGACTTCGCAATGGGCGCCTCTCGCCATAAACTCTGTCAAAACGGTGCACAATCCATCTTATAAGGCCTACAAGAGTGTCAGCTCCATGTAGGGGTCAGTCAAGCATAGGTCAAGGTCAAGGTCAGGTCAACCGGGTAGGCACATATCCCCGAAAATCAAAACTGATATTCGCAGCCTGTGACACATGTTTTATAGGTAATTTGGGGCGTAGAACACGATGGTGACATTCATTTTATCATATGTGTACGTGTTTGGCTCAAAAAGTTCAATTTAAGAAATTCATGTATCATGGTCGTGAAGTAGTCACGAAAAATTGCCAAGATTCAGTTCAAGATTATGGAAAATGCGGAACGATAATCAAGAATCGAAGATACCCATTTGATTGACCATGGTATTGGCAGTCTAATGGCGTTTACGGCATGTCTGTATGCCTATTCTGTGATTTTATATGATTTTTTGAACATATGCCGTTTTTGGTCGAAAACTCAGAAATCATGACGTCACTAAAACCTCGATATCTCAAAAATTTTCCGACCGATTTTTTTGAAACTTTGTCACAATAAACTTCAATCAATTCTCTACAGGTACCCAAAATTTGGCGCGCCTGCGGCGCGCCGTTTTTATGCTATGGCCCGGCGAAAAAAGTGGGGGCGTTTAACGCCCCCCCCCCCAGCAACTCGCGGGCTAATATTTCCGAGATTAGCTCAGGTCAAACAATGTGACCATCACTAGGCAGGCTGATAAAAAGTTGTCGCCATCAACCAAGAACAACCAAGCGACATACCAACTGATCAACTGATCATAATAGGTACATACAATTGCCAAAATTGACTAGTTTTCATAACTAGACATGAGCGTAACGACCAACTCTGACCAAAATAGCAACCAACCACAACAATTACCCAAAATTACTACCCTTAACCCAGACTGACCTTTCGGGGACCTTGACGGCGCTTGCCGTCGCCAAAGCAACCAGTAGAACGACGACGGGCCGATCCATGTCCTCTTCCAGTGCCCCGTGTAGAGCAACTGCGAGCCGCCGCCCGGCAAACAGCACATTTGTAGCTGCAGCGCCGACCCCCGGCGGCCAGTGCTGCCATATGATATGGCAGCACGCCGGCCCGCGAGGGGTTCCAGGTAGTTCGGGAAATCCTGGTCAGGTGAGCCATCACACTACGCATGAGCTGCGCAGCGGCACCGAATGATCATGGGGAGGGGTGGGGTGTCTTCCTGTAGGTAGATGGTTGCAGCGAACGAAACCGGCTACGCACCGGGTCGCCCGATTGAACATCATGAGACACTGCTTTGTATGGGTGTGGGAAGGTCAAATGTGATATGCTGTTAACCGCAGGTCTCTCTCTCTCTCTCTCTCTCTCTCTCTCTCTCTCTCTCTCTCTCTCTCTCTCTCTCTCTCTTTCTCTCTCTCTCTCTCCCTCTCTCTCTCTCTCTCTCTCTCTCTCGTCCTATCTTTCTCTTCATTTATCTCTCTATGCTTTACCTCTCATTTACGAGTATACCGTCCTCTTGCTCAATTGTCGTGCATTTGGGTACTTTACCTGCTAAAGTCTATACTACGTCATAATCCAAAAACCAAACACCTAAATCTACAGTAGCATGGAACCTAGCAATCCTCCTAGATTATCTTCCTAAGCAACACCAATGAACTTTCATCTCTTTGCTGTATGTATTTATTTATTGGCATGCTTGTCTGCTTGTTTTATACGTACATAAAACACGAGCAAATCACTCACAAAAAAGGTTATTGATATTTGCAGTATACGCCCTTTGGTTTAACCCGCGCCCAGATGGGGTCTGCCGAGCAACGCCGTCTGATGGGGGGGGGGGGCATTTTGCCCCCCCCCCCTCAGATCTCGAGAACCACGCAACATAGCGACAAGCGGTAAACGGTGTTGGATAGCCCCAACGGGGAAATACCTTGTGACCCAATTTCATTGACCTCGGTCAAACCGATGACGTAACAGGTCAGGTCAAAGGTCGAATTTTCACCGTTTACAGGCATTTCAAGAAATGCGTTGTAAAATCGAGTAAAATGCATTTCATTGAAAATCATCGATGGGGAAATGTTCTTCAAACACATATTTTGCTATTTGAGGTCACTGATACCAGGTCAGGTCACAGAGGTCAGGTCACTGGGGGGGGGGTCACAATATGAAAGTGTCGTGTGATACATGTTTTAGGGTCCATTTTACATGACAAATGCGATTATGTGGGTCAGACAGACTTAAGGGCCAGCTTAGGTCACGTTTTGGTCAAGGTCAGGTCAAGGTCAGGTCAAGGTCAGGTCAAATTAGGTCAAATTTCAAAGTTGATATTTTTGCATAAAATGGGTATCGATTCGATGCAGCTTGTCACGGGGAGTTTAATGGTGGTCTCCGTTTTGCGCTACGAGGTCTATAATTGCTAAAAATTGAGTTCAAAAATTTGACGTCATCAATTTTTAACAGTTTTTTCGCTATAACTTGGCCAAAAAAAGAGGTATCGATCTAAAATTTGGTATGTATATCGAAGAGCGCAGGGACTATCACATATATTCCGGCTTTTCGAAATTCGAATTTTTTTTGGAAATTTTTTGAGTTTTTTTTAAATCAATTTTTTTAATTTTTGGGGGTCAAAATCCCAAAATATCGAAAATCCGAGATAGCAGTTTTGTAGCGGCGTCTTTTCTCTACACAACCACCTAAAGAACTTTAAAATTGCTTGTTAACTGTAGAATTGGTGAGCGTTTCAAGATGTCATGTTTTTTGCTCATTTTTACTCGAACATGACCTCAGTTTGAACTCAATAACTCCTGACCTGAGGTGACCTGTGACTTGAAATTTTTTGTGAAGGTGTCAAATTGATGCCCGGTAAGGTACCCAAAATTTGGCGGCGCTGCGCGCCGCCGTTTTCTCGCTATTTAAGAAAAACCACAGGGGGGGCCAAAATGGCCCCCCCCAATCAGGGCGCGGGGTAAACCTTTTCAGATTCCAACGCACTGGCATTGAACTGTAGCTGGCCAGCGATTACTGCACGCTGAAGGTTGAAGCCCTTTCAGATTCCAGAAATATACGTCCCAGGACCAGCGCTGCCAGACATTATAGCGGCTACCCTGGTGAATGCTCGGGAGTTCCCCCAGTTCGAAAAGAGCATAGCCGCCACTCAGTACCCGGGAAGTATGGAGCAAAAGGGAGGGCGATTTCATGAAGGACGGGAGGATTCAGAGGAATGAAACTGGATTTTCCAGGCTCCGAACAAGCGATGCGCACTTAGCACTCAATAACCCGTAATGGCGGGGACGAAATGTCAGTGCTGTCTTCCTCCATCGGTATCTCCGAACGTGAAAAAGCGTCGTTACTAGAGATGTCAATCGGATACCAACTTTTTGGTATACCGATACCAAACCGATACCAACATGGTATTTGGTATTTAAATGCTAATGTGTTTGGTATTTTGTTGGTATCATGAACCCTCACAAATGTATAACAGGCTGAAAACTTGGTAAAAAGTTGGTATTTCCCTCATATTCCCAAGTTGGTTTGGTTTCGGTATTTCCCCACGGTTTTAGTTGGTATTTGGTTTGGTATCGGTATTCCGATTTTCCGTAATTGACATCACTAGTCGTTACCATATAAATTCAGCGGCTGTTACTCAAATTTGATGTCTCAGGCTAACCAGTGACCTCTGAGGTCAGGTCAACTGCCCCGAGGCAGGGGTTCGGTTTTTGGTGATTGGCCTTGCTAGAAATAGTTACACAGCCGCGATTTTAGCTCCGTCATATTTGCCAAGCTCAGGTGCGTCGAACATTCTAATTTTTGTTTAGGACAGGTCACCCAAAGGTATACCTATGGTCAAGATCAGGTCACACCATCTTAGGTCACGGAGCTGTCGCTTGAGTTAATATCATAACAGAAGGTTTGCTGTCAATAGTTAAAACACTATTCGTTAGAATTGTGTTTGTCTATTGAAAAACAAATTTGAGTTCCCTGGCAATTTGACAAAAGATGCCTGAGAGCACTACATCTTGATATACCAGAGTTCTATAGCCTTGGATAATGGATATACCAGAGAAAACGGCTGTTCCAAAAGTTCTGTTTTTTTCCGGATTTCTAGTGGGTCAGGTAATCTAGGTTCTGGCATGGGTCTCTACTCCGGGAACATTCTGGTGCACGTGCCACGTGACTGAAAATTTCCATGTTAACCCGCGCGGGGCTGGGGGGGTAAATTTTACCCCCCTTTGCGAATTTTTGCAATATCTTAAAAAACCAAACTTTAAGTACCTTTTCTTACATCAATTTGACACGTTCCCTGAAAATTTGAGCGAAATCCTTCGAAAATTTTTGAGAAAATGACGTTTTAGTGACGTCATGTTCGCCATTTTCGCCTCAAAAACTGCAAAATTTCAAACGCCGCTAACATCTTCATTTTTAAAGGAATCAAGACGTAACAAAAAAGGTTAGGTATACGTGATTCTACTTTGTCTATCAAATGGCTATCTCGGTTTTTATGGAAATTTTTTATTTTTGTCCATTTTTTTCTTAAAAAAACTGACTTTTTTGGAAAGTAATTATAAAATCCAAAATTTTGCGTGTATTGAAAAAACCGGAATATATGTCAGAGAAGTCCATGTGCACCTATATACCAATTTTTAGAAGAATCGGTCCAAAAATGTGGGAGCTATTCAAACTTTTATGACGTCACGACAAACAAGTTTTGTTGATTTTTTTTTTGGAAGTTCTAGACCTTGTACGAAAGCAAAAATAGCACCATTCGATTCACCGTGAAAAACTGCATCAGTAAGACACCTTTTCAGGCCTTAACAACCATCTTCAAAATTTGACCTCACTTGACTTGACCTTGCCCTGAACTCGACCTGAAATTCATCCAGCTGTGGTCCATACTCCATATCACCTACTGAGTGTGCCTATTGAATTCTTTGAATAAAATGACCCATAAAACATGTGTCGCACATGCCCTTTTCTACATTTTGTTTTTGGTGACCTGACCTGACCTGACCTGACCTTGATCTCGACCTCTGAATGATATTGTATGCAACGAATATTGTCTTGGTAGCCTAAGAAAACGTTTTGGGCAATCAGTCTCAGTCCATGACTCCATTCTTCGGCAACTACGGTGCAAGGCCGATACTGCAGAAACTTGCAATTTGTACCCTTGACCTGACCTTGACATTGACCTCAAACTTTAAATCAAGTACATGTTTTTAGTTGTTCGTGATGAGATTTTTCGATTGGCGTTTGAATTTTCCAGATCGGACCATTAGTTCGGGAGATAACAGGGGGGGGGGGTAACCCCAGCCCCGCGCGTTCGGCTGGAGACCCCAGCCCCGCGCGGGTTAAACCAATGGGGAAAATGAAAAAAATGCGTTCCAGGGCAGATTGCTCGAAAACGATCCAAACGACCCCCTCCCATTTTCTTCCATGCGGATCAACCACCTTTCGGTTTACTACCCATGGGTCTTGCCCATGAGCCTTGCCTATATACGGCCTTGCCCATGGGTATATTCCAGGTGGCATGTCTATTGTCTTCCATAGTCCGTTGGTGGCTTTCCCGACTCGCTATCTCAATGTGATTGATTTGAGAGTCACCGAAGAAAAACTCCGATGAATATATTGACGACATACATGGCGTCATAGCTATATACTTATACATGGCGTCACTAAGGTAAACAGTTCAAAAATTAAGCATCGTATATATGCAAGAGAAGGAGTGTATGCAACAACGATTCTATGTCCTTGGGGTAAACTTCAATCATTGTCAGCCGTAAAATTAACAATCTCTTTATTTCACTCATTGACTTCAATTTTTGTAAACAACAGACAGACACAAACGTTCAGTAACTATATTTCTGCTTCATAAAGTTTCTCCTTGTGTCAAAAAGGGAAGTTGCATATCCCTCACAGGTTAATTGAAAATACCTAGCATAGAAGTGGCAGGCCATTCGGTCATTCTGATGCAAAAGGACGTTCTACGGCAAATGAGCTCAATTATGAAGCTAAAAGGTACTGATTTTTTTATGGACAACCAACCCAGGCTCGAAAACGGTCACCCACTGCACGCG